ATATCAGGAGGCCGGTAAAACACAGCAACGATAAGATTTGGTGAATTCGACGATTCAATTTCAATCGCAACCATTTCAAGTTGATCAAGTTCCAAGTCGCAACGACGATATGAAGAACATTTATTGTTCACAGCAAGCAAAACTCCGCCACCTCTCCTGCCGTCTGAACGATCTCTACGGTAACAAGTATAAGGTAAACCAGCGGTGATCTCAGCGTCATGTATATCAGCATTAAGCCAAGTTTCCGTCACGCCCAAAATGTCAAAATCAAACACAGACATCAGTACCTGGAATTTGGCAAGCTTGCTCCGTAAAGAGCGCGCGTTTACTAAACCAAATTTTAACGAGTTTTGAGGCCGTCCAGGTCCGGGATTTGTTTCAATATCACCAGATAACAAAATAAACCACATTGAGAAAGATGCATGTATAAATAAACGACATCCGAGCATGATTTTTGTAGAATTGTCAAGGATTAGCGATTTGGCCCTTGACTTACGCACGCGACCGTTATTTTTAAAAACCATGATTTTCACCACTGTAGACTCCTTGGCCAAGAACAAAAGCTTGTGGTTGAACAATGACGTTAATGTAACGCATTCATAATGAGATAATCCAAGAAAAACAATATGGACATACAGAAAAAACAACAATTTATGGAAGTTTAAAAACATCCGCCTAACCGCCATCGCTGATGACGAATTGACTAAAAATACTGGTGGTGCACAAGGACAAATATTGAAGAATTCTTTCCTCGTAAGATCGCAGAAAAAGTGAGAATTTCAAAAGGTGGTATGCAACTAACCTTGGAGAGGTTCGAAGAAACTTTTAGCTGCTTCGGTCATGCTGGGTTTGGCAATATTGAAAGATATAATAGGATCCTACTTCAAGAAAAATATCGTCCAATTCTTCAAGGACATGGAATTTCATCTGGTACAAAGATGATCGCGCCTCTAGCTACATGATAATCACCCTAAGCACATGCACATCTTCTATGTGCCAGAAATCTTTTAGAAGCAAACCAAACGTTCTGGTGATCTCGTTCTCATGGCTTTCCACCTCAAATTCAAGATCTAAAACTTATGGAGCTTTCCGTTTTAACCGGAAAAAGGCGAGGCACAGACCCACCAGCCAGGATGAGTTGAGGTAAGTGGTCAACGAATCCTGGCAAGGTATTGAACGTGCGACATTGAAAAACCTATGGAATCTATGCCAGAAAGAATAAAGGCCGTTTCAAGAGCAAAAAAGAGGGATACTAAGCATTGACATATAATGCATGTTTGCTCATTAACATACGTTAAATGAATATCATAACATCTCATAGTTGTTGTGCAGCGTGTATTTTTCAGTTTACTTATTTACTGTTTTCTAGTTCACTTATCGGTAAGGTTTTCTGTAGAAAATTGATATATGCTGCTAAAACAATGAAATACAGTCACTGGACTCAAACTTTTGCCTCCTACTGTATGTGTATAGAGATTTATGCACATATCAGAAATCGTATTTCACTGGTTAAAGTAATTTCATGCAATTTGATTGGACTTACGATGCTTTTCACGTGCGAAAAAAATGCGATACACGGCTTTTGATTGGACGTACGATATTTTTCACACGCGAAAAATTGTCGTATGCCATTTTACCAGCAATTTGTTTACATTTTTTTCAAGATGGCGTCGAAATACGGGAGTGAGATTTAAAATATAATTCTTAAATTCAAGACATTTTCACATTCAGCACATTATAAAATCTCTCGGAAAGAATATCTAACTTTTTTGAACAGAAATTGAACGGTAATAAATGTTTTTAGATGCATAAAATTTCGATTTTTGTTGCTCGTCGTGTTTTTGTATATTAAATGCAGTCCAATTGATCTCTATAATTATACACATTTAAGTAAACAAATTAATGCACTCGCCAACCATGAAATAATCTATATCGGTATATGCAGGTATACGTATGTTGTAATAACGCGTAATTTTGGCAGGATTTTTGAGGAACTAACGTTCTGTTGTCCTGACCATCAATCATACATTGTAAAGATAATTAAAAATAAAGTTTTAAGCTAGTATATAACAAAGCACGCCCCAAATATAGTGACAATTTCTGTACGAGAAAGTATGCAAGTTTCGCAAAGCAATATTTTATATCGTCCATGCTTGCGAAAGGTGCGAGTAAAGTCAAATAGCTGCTTTTTATTCGTCTGCGAAGTCATAATTATAAACCTTCATGGTACTCCTAATCCTTTGGCTTCGGTTTTATGAATTGGTTTGTAAAATATTTCTTAATTAGAGTGTTTTCTTCAAACATTTTTACACAAAGTGCTTTTGAAATGACCTGTTAAACCTGGTCAGGCTTTTAGCTGGGAAAATAATGAGCAAATACTAAATGAGTACACCAAAAGAAAAAGCAAATAATCACTGATTATATATAAGCTTTATAGAATTAATTGGTTATTCTTGTTGCGGATATAAGTACACGTGCATGCATGGTTCAGAATGATTGATAGTTGTAGGCCTATTCGCCCTATTCCGATATTTTTTACTTAATCCACCTTAACAATTCATCATATACCACCAGAAAAACGCGAGATTTAGCGCTTAAAAGTCTCTTCTAACTTGATGTTACAAATATTCCATGTTTAACGATATGGTTTAATGAATCCAGGAAGTTGCATAGAATAACGTATTGAATATGGATTACTTTTCGATACGTCCTGTTAATTTTCTCGGAATTCTAAAGTAAATTCTGGTAAACGTATTCTAGTAACCTTAACAAGACCTTTAAAATGGTAAAAACAACCCAACAAAGACATATATATATATATGCATGAAGATTGAAGGACGCGATATTTGAGATGTTTGGATCGTTATTATATGAAAGATCTTTAGATGACGAAAATTAATATTGTTGGTCTCAGAATTAAATCGTTGAGCGTCTGCTAAGCTTTCATTCGGTTGCTACATACATTTGTTGAGCCGCGGAGTGTGCAGGACATATATATATATATGTTAAACGAAGTTATGCATGCTATAGTTAAGATGACTACAAGACTGTGAATTCATGTTATATTATATGCTGGGTGGAATAATAAATATATAGAGTGGGATAATAAAAACAGCCCTTGATATATTAATATAGATATACCTTAGCTTTTAATTACCTTGAATTCATCTTCGGATTTATCACTTGAATCGCAGCAGAAATCAAGTTCGTCAAGACGTTCTTTAAAGATCCGTCTCTCGTTTTCTAGAAACTCTTTATGCGAATATATTTCATGTCGAATGTCGTCGTTCGCACAGAGTTCATCAACCGTCGCATTCGGCAAAGACAAAAGAAATTCGCGATAGGTCTCGACGATTTTACGAAGTACAAGTATTTCCCCGCTTATTTCTTCATCCACAAGTCTTGAGCGTACAAGGGCAGCGTTAAAGAGTGCGTCTGCTTTTGTGAAATCGACACCATTGGCAGAGGACTTAGCTTTCTTCAAGTACCAGTTTCCAAGCTTAAGAAAAGTTTGCAGTTGTTTTGATACATCGCTTCCTGCTGCTCGTAACTCGTCTATTGTTGCTGAAAGATCAATAATTTCCTCATCCATGCTTTATCAGTCGATACAATGCTCATCCGTAGTATAGTGTACCGTTTACAAAGTTACTTCAATTCAGCTAGTGCATGCTGACGTGTCTCCTCCTCTCCGGCCATACTATACAGCTGCTTAAAAGTATCGATTACATTTTATTAGACATAAATACATATGTTAATCTATTGAGGAATGTACTTTCATTTTCATGATACCGGAACCCCCATTATTTACACCGGAAAGCTCTCATAACGGCTATTGGCTCAATGAATGAGGTTAATTCTAAAGTATAAAGCAAGTTTGAGTTTAATTAACACATAGCATGCTGTTTGAGCATAATTATTATTGCAATTATATAAATGTACACTTCGTTACGAAAATGGCAGATAAATTCAAAATGGAAAACGAAATTATCGATTTGAAATTGAGTTGAAATCTCGATGTAAATAGAAGTAGCTACAAAATTCAATGGAAGTAGCTATACATAATTTATTCAATGCATAAGATACTCGAGGTGTATAAAATTCTTCTTAATAACCGTTTAATTCGAAAAACCGGCCACTCAATTTTTTAAAAAAGTGTATTCACTATTGTTTAAATAACGAATAAATTGAAAGTTGTTTTTATCCATCGCTTGTGTATATAACAAGTACGATCGTACTATAGTGGACCCGCAGTGATGCAGTTTCTGAACTGCATTGTATTTACAACAATAGAGAGGACAACGTATTTCTAATCGTTTGCGTATTCTTATATATAGGCTGAATATTAATGATATATATATATATATATATATATATATATATATATATATATATATATATATATATATATATTGTGCAAAATGATTAGATTTAGTGTTGTTTGATATCCTTTGTCTGATCTTCATTGCTTCCGAGACAAACTTTTTTTATATACAGCTACTTGTGTTATCAACCTACACATTTTTTGATATATATATATATATATATATATAATTATATATATATATATATATTATTTGCTGCACATATAGTCAAGAATTGCTTGTAACTTGCTTCAACGGTCAAAAGTAAAAATTCGAACTCCGTCAATCGATGCGGAATATTGCTTAGAATAATTGTGCTAAGTTTCATTCCGATCAATCAAGTAATAATAGAGCCTTAGGGTTTTTTTAAAGAGCGTCGTCCCCTAACAAGAAGAAGAAGAAGAAGAAGAAGAAGAAGAAGAAGAAGAAGAAGAAGAAGAAGAAGATTAGCAGCGGTTAGGGACCAGTTCCTGGTCCAATAATGCTCACTCGATCTCTAACTCGGCGATGCGCGTCTCGTCGGCTACCAGCACATATACGACTCGAGTTTGCAAAATAACTGTTAATTAACCTTCCTGAATTTGATCGGACTAATGGAAAGAGCCGTACGATTCAAATAGATCAAATAGATTGCACAACTATTTGGAACATAGTATTTCATTGTTTACATTTCGGTTCGTATTTTTACTACTTTTTTACAAGATTCAAAGAGCCTCAATATATTTATATATTATATATCTTATTATGGGCTAATTGCCTTAAACATATTTTCAACTTATTTAATATTTACAGAAGTCAACATTCGTCAGCATTGAGTAATAAATATATGTACATCCTTAAAAAGGTTTGAAATAAAATTATATAAATATCAATCTTTATCTAACGAATATTTCCAATACAGTTTGTCGATTATGATACATTCAATGTTCTGTCCTAAAAGCAGAATTTAATTTAAAATGTCACCATATATATAATCGTGTATATCTTTCAAGAATGAAAGAAGTTTATTCATAGTATAATATTTCCAATAAATGCACCCTTTCTAAGGAAGGGGAAACTTACAATATATTTAAAATTGCTTAAAAGGATAGAGCAATAAAATTATTTTTGTCCTTCTCAAAAGAAGGTCAACAGTAATCACAAAATCTCAGCGTTTTTTTCCACGAGATGAGACTTTTCATTGCAATTTCCTTTAAGCCTACACTAGCGTTATCGCAATATAGTTTCAAACAAGGCCCTGTGTAAGAATGCGTTCAGATATTTGACTTGCGTCATCATTACCTTGTGCGTTCGTAAAATTGTCGACTTACTTTATATACAAGACTCGCACAGATTTTTTTACTTCTGTCCCGTCTTCCTTTCTGACGATCTGGTAGTGATCTGAATCGTCTTTTTCACAGCAAAAGCAAGCTTTGAGTTTCTGGTACCCATTCTTCACCTTGGCCATAGTCAGTTGACCGGAGTCGTTTTCAGGTCCCCACACGCTGCACAGCGCTTGGAAAAAGAATGTTGCATAAACCCAACTCACGGACATGATGATCATGAGGAACTGGCCCAACTGAATGTAAGACAATACATTTGACTGTGAGGCGATGGCACCTAAAGAATTGAACATTGTACATGTCAGATATACAGCATGGTTCGTAAAGATTTGAAGCAATCTTAGAACACTGACTCGTTTGGATCCTGATTTTTTAATCACACCACAATGCTCAGATACGGACGGGTATTTAGGCATTTTGACGGATTTCGAAAGCTATCAACTTCAACGCCTTTTCATCATCAATATATATTACGAAACACACATTCATAGCTACAAACATCAGGGGTCCCATTTTTTTGATTCGGTAAAGTCATTATAATGTTAAACTGCCGATCGCAGAAATATTTTACAGTATAGCGGTCACATGTAGAACCATAGAAAGGCAGTTGAACAATTTTGCCCTCCTTCTCTAATTGATGTCATCATATCTTTTCCGAGTGTAAAAAATGAGAAACCGAAGACACGACAAGGACGGGATGTTTGCGCCGGACATAAAATATAGTCATGGAAATATGTTCACTGACTTTACTCACCTGTAACAAAGGTTGTAAAAGCCGCCATAGTGATTGCTGAACTCATTCCAGTCATGGAAAAGAACACCCTGGACCTTCTTTGATCTTTATCAACAGCCAGCACGTAGGCAACTCCATAATGCAATGCAAAGTCCACTGACAAACCCACCGATACAGACAACGTGATGGACTCTAAGATATTCAACTTCCATCCCATGAGTACTAAGGTTCCAACGGTCACCCCCAGGGCACAGGTAATAGTGAGAATAGCAAACACACTGATATACACATTTCGAGTAGTCAACAGCATCACTCCGAAAGCGATCGCTAGAGAGATGCCTATCGACAAAAAGGTCCCTTCCGACAAACTCTTCTGCAAGTCGTAGAATTGTAATTCGCTTATAAACCAACCGTTGGTTGATGACGGTGCTTTGTTAAACTCCTTAAGAGACCAACGTTCAGCTTCTTTCCAGAAACTGTCCGCAGGATCGTAGGACCACGTGAACGCTACGTTGCTGTCGAACTTCAGAGAGATGGCTCTCAGTTGTCCTTCGGTGTCAAAGAGCGGTGCTCCATCAGTTATACTATGGCTACTGAACTGGATCTCTTTTATTCTTTCGCATTGCATACGAAGCATGCATTCAGAGAACGTGGACGGAGCGTATGGAAACTTGGAGGCTTTGCAGCATATCGTATTATTCTTCGTGCAATCCCTGTCCATGTAATTAAAGAAATCTTCGATGAAGCATCTCTTGCCCAATTTTTGTTCTTTAGCAAAAAAAGGTTGCTCTTTTAAGCGAGGTAGAAATAGTTTCATCCATTTTTGACCTTCTTTGCTGGCTATGTCAAACTCGCTGTCCCAGTTAAGTTCACCCATGTCGTAAGGGTCAAATTGGTTGCCGGAATCTGCTGCCTTGATGCCCCAGATAAAGTTGATCGGGAAGCTGGACCTTTTCGTCGTTTCAAAGTGAAAATACTTCTTCAATTTTAATGGGTATTTCTCGAGCTCGTGGGACTCGTGAAACATTTGAAAGTCCTGCGACGATGGTAACTGTAGTCCAGGCTCAGCAGTTGAGACAATTATGCCGCCAACAGCGAGGATTAACAAAAATACAATCCAAAAATACCTTAACTTTATAACAAAACGCGGGAGTAAATCGTTAAAAACTTTTCTATGCCACGCGATTATTTTGTCGAGTGCAGCTTTGATTGAGCACGTTCCCCCGCAGCATGCGATTTCGTAGAGTTTTCGACGGAGCGCGGAGCAGCAGTTGAAGCATGAAAATGCAGTCTGTTCGATGATAACCGCAGCTGGAAACCAAGTCACCATTAGAAAGAACATACAAAGGATTGAGAGGCCAGAATAAAGGCCGAACAATCGAATGGATGTAATGTCCGACGTGAGACTTGCAAAAAATGCTGACGACGTCGTAAAACTGGTAACAAACATTGATAAACCTGCGTGATTCATAGTTTCCTTTGTAACACATATCAACTCTTCAACGCGTTCCTTGTCGTCCAAGGGCTGCCGGCCGCGTTTCGCTCTTTGTTCGCGCGTGGACTGGTTCCAAATATCGATATACACGAAGGCATCGTCCGCAGCGATTCCGACCAAAAACACGGAGGTAAGAATATTCAAAAACGGGAAAAACTTCATGCGAAGCACAACGGTGTAGATGAAATAAGCGATCACCAAACTGGACACTACAATGAGTCCGACCAATGACGTGATGAGCAACGACCGCGTGTACAACCAGAGAATTATCATAATAACAAACATTGCAATGGCAGCGAGATAAAGATCTGCCAGCATGCGTTCGTTGAAGATTTCATACTTCAGTCTGCTCAGTTCATAGCCGGAGAGTGCAATATCACCATCGCGGAGATCACTACCTTTTAGACGGGATTTATAGATGTCGACTTGGAAGTTTTCGTTTTCCTTAACAGGGACGAGTACCAGACTATATCGAAGAAAACTCGAATTCGATCCGGCAGGCAAGAAATCTTTATCCGTTAGGTAATGAAGTATACTGTAAACTGCATTAAATTTTGTACACAACGGTGGAACTTGATTGCACCTTCCAGATACTTTGGGACCCCAGCAGTCGGGTTTCAACGTTCCTTCGTGGTAATGTTTGGAGCATGTCTTCAATAAACGATTGGCTTTCTCAACCATAGCCTTGTCGATGTTTTCACACGAGGCGATGTTATTTAGAAGTGCGATGTAATATCCCACCGACCAACTGGGACAACAGTGCTGCGTCCCGTTCGCTTTGTGACAGTGGTCATCAAAAGCATAGTACTTACGAACAATCTTGTGTTCCAAACGACAGATTGATTTTAAATTTTCCGCCGTAAGTAAATTTCCTCCATTCTCAGCAGCGAAAACAAGTTTCACCGTCAGTTTACCCTGATTGAAGGTCTGTTCCTTGGTGCAAACTGCAGGTGCGTCTCCGATTTGTTGTTCACTCACGGGGTTTTTAATCCCGCAAGCACCTGGAACCCTCGTAACTTTACCCTCATGTTCATCATAAAAAAGATTCATTTGACTTCGCCAGCGATCACTAATCACAGTCCCACGAGCTTCAAAACCCTATAAAGTAGATGAGAATATTGAACTCGCGAATGCAGAAGCAACTGAGCTGGAATATATTTTGATGTAAATATAGTTGTAAATATAGATGTAACTATAATCTTCAATACATATTTAATGCACAAGATGTAGGTTCAGTCATTCAAAAGATGTATATGAGAATATCTTTTTAATTTTGGCTTATGCATGCATCGTTTAAGGTAATCGCCTTGCGAACAACCAGCCCCGGATGAGTTTTTTTAGGAGACTTACCTTGACAGGCTCTTTGAAGTCTGGTAATGGCTGAGCTCCAAGCTGTGGAATGAGACTGAAGCATCCGCATATTATCACCAAGATGAAGATGAGTGCAAGCAGAAGATAAGGGTGCTTCACTATAAACGTCGCGTACCTACAATAGGAAAGAGCAAACAAATATGAATATTCTGCAATCCCAGAGTAAAAAAAAGTAAGAGTGTTTTTAGTCTGAGATATTTTGTAAGTGAAAAAACTCACTAACCCATTAACTAAATTAACCCATTTCAGATGTTGCGATCATAGAATAGCCAATAAAACTTAACCATTTCAGTCCGAGTGATTTGAAATGGATTAATTTGCATACAAGCTGAAAAGGTCTATTATCATTACTTATGATCATTTACTTATGATCTATAAAATATACAATCATCTAAAATACTAAGATAAGACTTAAAGTAATAACATTTAAAAGGTAGGGGTTTTCTAGGTAAAAAACCCTAAAAATTAAGATTACTATATCGTTTCGCAAGTTCTAATCATATTGTCTGTCATGTGGATTTAGATATAACAAGATGCCCGCTAGGCATTAAACTCGCATTGCTTGAGTCGAGCTAGGGCTATGACAAAAAAGACGCTTACTCAGGGTTGTGTTTGGGCTTGCCATAGTTGTTCAGCTATGCAACGGAACGTAACGGCCGTGAAAATGGGGAGAGCATTGGATAAATTTAATTGCGCTGTGAAGTTAGTCTTGTTGCACAGTGGAGTTTATAGTCTTGTTTAGATATTCGTAGCACGTCATGGCACAGTTCATTGACAACGTCGTTGTATTGTTTTCAATTGATAGTACTAGTGAGAACTCGTGAGATTGATTTGAGATTGTATTCAGTTTGATCAGAGAATTCATAGCGATATTAAGCAACTTTGGTTCAACATGAAGTTGAAAAGCATGAGAGCAACAGAACACCCCGTTTCGAAAACGCTCGGCATCTTTTAGTGTAGGGCTACTGTGCAGTGCTCGGCGTGTGCAGTTGTATGTAAGGTGAGCGTTAAGATAAATATGGCACTTGGAAGCCACATTTCGAAATATCTTGAATTTTTATCGTCTTTTGTCCACAAGACGATGAACGTCATGAACGAATGCACTCAGCAGTGCACGTTAGCTTAGCAACCACGCCTGCGTAGCTCGTGGCTTGCAGGTCAGCGCACCTTATCGCACTTTGCGGGTCGCGAAATTCTCGACCATAAAAATATTAATAAGAACGCTTCCCATTTTAAGAACTCGCTTGCGCATTGCGAGTTAATAATGTGTTTGGATGTGACACTAATAACTCAGGCTACTCTACATTTTCTAGTGTCCGCCTTTTCTAACAGTCCCGATAAAGTTAAAATGGGAGTATTAAAAGTGTCGATAATAATAAAATGTTATCATTTTACAAGGCAGAAAAATTGCGAGAACACGTGCGTTCTACGCTTAGCTTCAATAAAGCAAAAAGTAGGTGTAGGCGTGTTGCTAAGGTGAATACTGAAACGAAATTTCGAAAGAAAAATAGAACAAAGAGCATAATAATTTACACTCGAAACTCGATAAAACACTTCAAAAAAACGTCATAGCAAACGAGAAACAAAGACTCTCTCTGAGCCGTCTTTTGAACTTCTTATATGCTTCACTGCATGGCTTTCCGGCAACTCGTTTCGACCTTGAAAGAATTTACTGTTAAGCAAGGCTGTTATACAAGGTCAAAAAGCCCACCCAGCCACTCCTACTCCCCCCCCCCTACTGAAGGTCACTTTTGAATTTAAATATTGTAGCAAAATAACCATCTTCATTTTCTCTCAACAAGCCTCACCCCGCTAAGATGGATTTGTAATTCGTAATCCCCCAAAATGCAAGAAATCAAGTCGGAGAGACCTAGCAATTCTTTGTGTATATTCACAATGCTTGTGAATACATATTGTGTATTCAATATGTACTTTTAAATGGACATGAGACAATGATAGTTCCGTCTTAGAAAATTCGAAAAACCGTGTTTCCTCATTGTTATGAGCAGAACCGATGCGAAGAAGCCGCTGTAAGTTAAGACTGTAGGTTCAAAGGCGAGTGACGTGATTATCAAGAAAAACAAACGGAAACCTGAGACAACAATGACTAATATTTTTGGCTAAAAACCATGTTTTGAATGCTTGGAGTTTTGCCATATGACATCTCTTGACCTTGTAAGAGTGTTGAAATTATAAAAATACATTGTCTTACAAAAAACAAAACAATATGGTAACTTCAAAAATCGATGAATATCAGCTAGCTAGGTTATATACCAAAAGCAGTATATTTATTTTTGATATTTTTTATATAACTTAAGTTTGGAAATTACACCGTGAGAAATGTGAGAGGTCGGGGAAAAAATTCGTTTACATCTTATTATAAACTCTCTGTTGAATATGTCCCAATCCCCGCTACCCCCTACTCAATAGTGTGATTCCAGTGTTTTACATCAACTGGGGGATAGTTTGCGATTCTCCACCCATACCACGTCGTTTACTATATCCGGAGAGAAAGAAAAAGTTGTTATACTGACTTTATTTGCCCATCCTTACTAGCTGATCTGTGTATAAAGATCAACTAATCAGAAGCCAGATCTTCGACAAAACTGAATTATCATTTCCTTCATTGCATATGACTTCGACACTCGAAATATCGAGTAATTTTATTATATTTAAGCGAAAAAACCCTTATTTTTTTCCGAACTGTAAATTAGAATTTAAATTTTTCGCCCTTTATACTATTAGTTAAGAGAATAAGGACAAATAACACCAGGCACATGATAACTCATGACGTCATGATCTCAGATCAGCTGGTAATGCTCTCCCACGCTCATTAAATGGGAAATAAACCAATCAGATGCGACCAGTCTATCTGATTAACCAATCAAATGCTGAATAGGTCAGCAAAAGGTAGCGGTAGTGGTAGTGGAAATCAAATCAGAGCCTCGCTACTCAAATATAGTGGGTGTTGATCAAGGGCAATGAAGCAGACTACCCTTGACCTCCTTATAAAGGTGATGTCGAATTAGAATTGACATGACATGACATGACAAAGAAAAAAACTTTTTCCGTTTCAGCCAAGTTACAAACGAAAACCGAAGTACGTGAAAGAACTCTTCGACAGTTCCTGAGAACTTGCTGAATATGCACGATGAAAGAAGAGCAATCGACCTATTGTTCTTCGACAAATGAGCGATACTCTGCATCGTAGCAAATGCTCACATTGACCACGTCATCGGGCGCTCACGATCTTTCAACTGATAACGAACAAAATTTGGTAAAACGGAACGATTTTTTATTCAGACTAGTGCGTAAATTAGACGTCAGTTCTAAACATCCAATAGATGCACTATAACTGCTTACTTATGCAACTAATGGACACATTTTTTATATGTTTTAGTAACATATATAGTTTTAACTGTATATGTGTCCCCGATGACTTTCTTGTGAACTAAAATTTATTTTATCTGCCGCATTAACAAAAGTTTTTGACTGTCGAAAATTTACGCATAAATACACGATTCTGATTTGGAAATCATGACGCAAACTACAGCTACAGGTTAAGTACCTTTCAACAACCGGTTCCAGATGTTACAATGTTTCTACATCGCGTGAATTAAAATTAAGAAATCGATCATTTTAATTGAATATAACTTTAAAAAACCTGCGTGCACGCGAGAGTTTCAGAGGTCGTTCACGTAGCTAACAACGTCCGCATTTTAGGACACTAACAAGGAATACCTGGGGTGTAATCGTGTTTGAATATTTGTATTCATATCGCTCATTGACTTCACACATGCACGTAGCAATTTTTAATTACATTAACAACCTTGACCTACACTCGCGACAATTACGCGACTGAAGCCACTGAAGTGCTAGTGCGTGTAAATGTTTTATTTTGTGTGTTCTTTTCGAAGCGGAAAACGAATGTTTTTTTTTTTTTTTTCACATGAGATTGTACAATTGATAATATACGCTATTTTTGAGGTGTATATATTTAGAAATGTGCTTTGGCCGTCCTTTGTTGCAACGGTTGTATAAAATTCTACAACTACATGTTTGAGATAAGGGTTTCTAATCGGTCGACTAAAACGGCGCCGTGTGAGAATTAAAAACAACATACAATACGATATTGAGTTCAAGATCAAGTTTTCTAGGAGTACATTGTACAGTACTGTTTAAAAATAAATGCTAACAACCCATACTGTGGTCAGAATGCATGTCATTTCGGCTATGCGTGATATGAACCATTATTCTGCCATTACGAAACACGTTCGCTGGAGTGGAACCGGTTAATTCCCGTTTTTCAAACCGGTTTTCAAGTTAGACATCATATCTTAAATATTTCTCAACGCTGGCATTCTGCCGTCTGCTATGGCATTTGATGTGGCACAACGTTGTAAAAATCGAGCACATAGGACATTCTCCCGGCGATACGATAATGAATCTAAACTGTAGGACAATATACGAGATGCACAAGGTCGTTACGGCACTATTAAACGCTAGGTACACGTGTTCGCGGCACACCCCCGGCTAGCCCACTGCTAATTGATACAATGTAAACAAATGATATACCATAACCGAGAATGAAATGCCACCTTTCGCGTTAATTTATGGGACAAAACGCTTAATGCTTTTTTCGCTTCAAAATTATAAGACTGCATGGGCAGTATTATTATGATTTTTATATGTTAATGTTTGAAACTGTGTCAGAGAATATAAATATGGCTATTACGTTTGAGTTTGCCGTTTATTTAATCTGTGACGGGCTGTGATAATACCATATTGCGTAGACAAGATAACCACAAATAATAATGCTGTTTTCAAAAGACCAACAATCGTGGTTGACGGTAAAAAATAGCGCATAATGTCTATTAGGAATACCTTAGAAGACTTTGGCTCTGTAAAAATCGGTCGAAGAAAAAATCGATGTGACTGAATTGCAAAGCGCAGTCTGTGACGAGATTCTATAGCAAAGTATCCAATTTTATAGAAAGTCACAGCACAAAACTGCTACAAAAAGCATTTTGTGATGAAAAGCACTTTAAACACCGCAATTTTCACTTTGATACCGCACTTCATGTAGGACCAATCTCATAAAAGGAAGGAATTTCGGTCAATATTGGGAGTCATTTTTAATAGCCAGAATGTCGTTTGAATTACTTTCGTATCCTAACTGACAAACACGAACGTGTCCCTCTTCCCATAAATAGGCTAAATTTGATGGGTGTAAAATGTGTGTATGTTTGATGTTTGTCGAGCAGTCAACATTGCCTTAGATATACCCCGGTTTCCAGCTTAATGTTAACATTCCGTGAGATGACTCAGTGTTACAGATTATATATATGGTTGAGAAGAAATGCCATCGTATTTCCTGTATAACCATACGATACATGAACAATCGGCTATAATGCGGTCATTTCCAATCGCTTTTGAAAGGATATAGTTAATAATATCACTCTCGGAGGTCGTGTCTGCCAAAAATATCCCACAGAATTGCCGCATAGGAAGCGTGGATTTTAGAATAATGTGATGCCAAGCAAACGAAAGAAAAACCCCGTGACCCGCGTGGGATGCGGAGTCTTACAGCAGCCAAAGACAACAAAAGAAGACGCTTTGGCAACACAACATTTTTACCATGTCGCAATAAGTCATCACGATTTTGCAAGCGCTTGTTTATTTTTCATAAGCCCGGGAAACAACCTGAAATACACAACAGCGTTGTACATGAAACACTATTGTCACGCTTGTGTGAATTTCATGACAACATCTCGTATTGAATTTACTATTACGCCATGGTTGGGGTTGAGAGATGCCGGGTACATTCAGTACATATATCGGGGGTGAAAGTTATCATATGAAAGCCGATAGATGGCCTGCTATAATCTAAGAGGCAAAGTTTAAAACCCTAAGGGCCCATATCTGACGATTTGGTAACACTATAGCCGTTGATACCTAATGACAGGGTTAAAATAGAAATTTTAACCCCGTTAAAATAGAAATTTTAACCCCATTGAAATGCTTTCGCGGTAACGCTACGTCTTGTCAGAGTGAATTACCGCGTTTAGACTAGCAAGCCGTACAATATATTAGTACAACTTTAATTTCAAGCGTTCAAAGTCCAAACGTATCTACATCGTATTTCTACAGCTACTGCAAATATAAATACACTCGGAGTTTCATGTTATTGTTTAGACTGTCTGACTGAGTACATCATTGCCAGTCTAATTTATTGCTGTATGGAAGGGAATAAAGTTTATTTCAAACCTCGACGGTGATTTTTTCTCGGGGCAGCTGGGCTCGCTGGTCTCGTCCATGGACTCGACAATAATCTGTCTTTCCTCTTCTTCGGGTACTGTCTCTCTCGCTGACAGCCCTGTCGTACAACACGCTGTCGAAGACGCGCGTTTTAACGGATCTTCGTCCATCCGAAATGTGAAACTTTACCGCTACCTGAAGACAAAATACACTCTCTCGAACACACGCATAAATACAGCCAAACGTGAACCGTCAAGACGCTACAAGCAGCTGCCGGTATTATTACATGTTCCTGGCTCGCTTTCTTGTGTTTATATGAATGATAATACATGAATGTCAAATGAGGTCCTTCGCTACGTCACGTTTATTATAAAGGACCTTGAATAGCCCGCGTGTCGCACGATATGACGACACCAGGCTTTATCATTTTGCTTGCTATCGGCGTTTCGTTTGCCGAAAAGTTTGGGAATGGCTCTGCGGTGGTAAAAGCGCTCAGATTGCCCCCAGGTTTAGACATCGCATGTTGCACGCCATGTGGACATAATGTTCGCAACAATTTTGTGACAATTTTTTACACGCGGGCTCCACCTTCGCGATGTCGTGAAGTATGTTCTATATATTGGCTTTCGCATCCGGCCAGTCCTATATAGAACCTGTTTGCCCTATATGGCTCTTTAATGTTCCGGAATACTTATACAAGCAGGTGGAATCTGATCAAAAACGAGAAAGTATTGCTTTTCATTTTCAGTCAGATTTCCAGCTTTATTTATCTCGCTAAAGCAACGAGAGTTCTATTCAAGGTCAATGTATAGAAATCCTATGACTACGTCGTGAATGTTTTAGTCCAAAAAATTGGTGTATTAGACTTTATACTTTGAAGTTATGTAACATCTATTAACAATTGCCAATATACCTTGCGTGATTTTGATCGCCTAACTCCAATACAAAATGAGACATAGTTTCTCCTATTATGTAATTACACAGCAGTTATAGATTTAATCTTTTTAAAACCGCAAGGCATGCTCTAATTTTGATAGTTCCAAAATAGCTTTAACCCACACAGTGGAGGCTCGACCATCGATTTTCTTAAGGGAAGGGGGGCATCGAAGGGGAAGGTAACGTGGAAGGTTACGTGGGAAAACCCACGCTATCATAATTTCAAAATGACAAGAAAACTGTACGTGTTTAACTGAATACTTTTGCTTACTCATGTTAATATTGATGAATTCATATGTATTTCTCTTCTACGTGTATCTCTGAAAGTATAATGCAAGCGCCGGGTATAGAATCCTGTCTTCCTGCATGTATACCCGTAAATGATAAATTCAATATGATAAATTCAATATGAATATGTACAATAAAAGACATGCATGTATACCTGTTAGGACGAAACTTTATTTATGGTATCATCAGTTCCTTCAGACCAATAAGGCTATAGATCGTGAGGCTGAGTGATGCAGTCTAATTTAACAATAGAGTTGATGTTCGCGGCCATGTGTTTTTGACTCTGAACTCATTTGCACTGATGTATTCTGAGGAGGGCCAAAAACACATTGAATGCCCAAAAACATCAACTGTATTACTATTATATTAACTTTAAAGGGTAATTTTTGCATAAAAAAATGGTAAACACACTTTAGTCAATCTTCTGTTTGGCTTAGATTTGGCAAATTTATCATTTTAGCCCGGAAAATAGGCTTCACCGTAATACCCGCCAAAGTTGGTAATTGTTTTTTATATAATCGGCTCCGGGCAAAATTAGATAACCGGCTTGTCCCTCAGTATATTCCACTTATATATGAACAATATGAATCATTGATCATGCATGTCTTCTCTTAAATTTGGTTTTCATTATTATTTTAGTCCCGTTCACTTACTCATTTGGTCTCAGCATCTTAGTGAGTGTATTTTCAATTTGTATGAACTAAAAAAATGATGCTATATAAATTGTTTTTAGGAATTCTGTTAACGGTGCATGATGAATAATTCAAGTTATATATAGAATCCTGTTCTCCTGCATACCAGTAAATGATAAATTTTATATGCATGGACATGTACAATAAACACGTACAGGTCACAAGTTGACTGAAGCCAAAAATCGCATCGCGTGTAACGCGCCTTCATTAAATAACGTAATACATTCAATCTATATATGTCCTAAGTTGCACAAACTGTGAAGTTATGACGTATTAACAGAAAGATTTATTCTATAATGGTTCAATCACCCTGCCCCCGCCTCTCCTCTCTGCTCTATTTTGACTGAAACTCACCAGATATGCTTCGCATATATATAGATAAAAAAAGTTACACTCGACGCAAAAAGAAAGCTGATTACATGCATGTATTTTTTTAGCGACTGCTTGCTGCTGATCTGCAAATTAACGAGTGGCGGATGTTTAGGTTTTAGATTTGCTACGCTCGTTCCTGCATGCATGGTTTAGTAGTTTTTTGAATTAAAAAGATACGAGATTAACAAAAAAGTATCGGACATTTAATTCTTGTTTTCAGTTTGAAAACAAAGAATATTTGTTTCAGTTTATATCATGCAGTTTCAGTTGCACGGATATCAGACAGTTACTGCATGCGCAATACTTTCGCCCGATGTAGGCCGAGGCAGTTTAATCAGTTTTCTATTGTCAACCTCCGGCATGCAACGAAGCCACCTTTCGATTTGATTAAACGCAGCATGCTTTTGGGGCGGTCTTAATTTGCGAAAGCGAAAAAAATGACAGTTTGCATGACGGGTTAAAAGGGGAATATAGAATATAGCTGCTTCTCGCAATTCACGCAGAGACGAAGAGCTTTAACTTTTCAAATTACCTTAGGTTTCGCAGGTGATTATTACATTACTACACCAATTACCACTGAGTGTATCCACATCATAAAGTTTGTCTAGCGGAGTTCTGCTAAAATTCTGTCCCATAATTTAGCTTGTGAAAACAAGAATGTAGCAATACATAGTATCTATACGTGCACTTGTCGTTGACCTTGAGTGTCGTTCATGTAAGTATACAAAAAAATTTCGCTGACTTAATAATTTTCGCTGTCAAAAATTATGACTGATACGAAACGTATACTGGTCTGCCAGAGTACATATAATTAAACGTAGGTATACGTCGTTTGGAGCGGGATTGACGAGGGTTGCCAATTTTTCTGCATGATGCAATATTTTTATGATTGTTGCATTTTGATATTGAAGCTATAATGTGTTGAATGGGATATATAGCAACTGGTTTCTTTCAAAATCAGAATTCTCATATTTAGAAGTTTATTCAGGTTCCACAAAAATGCTGGTTGAAACATTCCAATTATAAGACATTCCAAGTGGGCGCTATACTGCTTATGCTTAGACCAATTTGATATAAAAACTCTTCGGCCATCTCACAAATATTCCGTGTTTACATAATTTATACTGCAGGTACAGACATGATAGATTGAGGCATTGAGCAAATTCCCAGTGTTTATATACTAGCTTTAATACATGCAATATATAAGATTAAATATCTCAAGCCTTTGGCAGTCCGATAAGGCTAATGCATGTCGTTTTAGTTATGTAAACAATCTAAAAAAGGGTTTACATCATTTTACTTTTTTGAGGGATTATGCCACAAAATTTCCGTCTCTTGATTGCATTTGCATGCATAATTACATGATCCCAGTACGTGTGTCAAAGCCAAAGGCAAAGTTCCTCTAAAAAAGACAATTGTTATATAACCCATATTATATATGAGTGTTTGATTTCCATGGATATGAAAAAAACTACTCATGAGTCATGTAATGCCACAAGAATTAAATGGCAGTATTGAGTTTTGGACGCAGGGATTAAAAGTAAATAATTAGTATAATTACAAAGACGATGATCGAAAATTGTATCCATTGCATCAGTCTCAGGCTGAAGGCAGTGTTACCTATGCAACTTTCCTTGCAACTTCGCAATGAAATCCTACTCCTGAGGCATTAAAAGTTGTCAAATACGAACATTTCTTACGATCTGCTAACGTTTTCTCATAAACATCCTTCAAAATTATAATTGCATTGCAAGTTGCAAGGGAAATTACGTAGTGTAACAGCGCCTTAAGGTATATCACTGAAGAAAAAGGCCGATTTCGTCTTGGCTTTTAGCGGTTGTTTGTGCACGTGCAACACTAATTAACCCAGTTATAAGTCTTAATCTTTTTTTGTTGACTAATTTAATGAAACAGTGATAATGAATGACGTTTCATTAAATAATCATGTGATTTTATGGAGTGTGCTGTGTGATGTCACATATTTATACTTTATCATGCATGTCAGATTTAAGGATCTCAAGCACGAATAGAGGTTTGCGGGAACCCATGAGATTACGTATATATAACTTAAAAACTAGAAAGACAAAGAGATTATATATCGCTTTATGCAACTTTCAGTTCATGAACTTAGGCTTACTCTCACGTGAGTAGGCTTAAAGCGAATTAAGTCGGATACCCACAGTTGGCACGAAACATGTAAACACATCCTTATAATCTGGCAGATAAATATTGTATAGGGCAAGAATCTTTGCCCGGCACATTCAACTTTACACGAAATATGAAAACGTGCTTAACAGAACAAGTTGTCAAAAATGTCGCACGAAATATTCGTGGAAAGAATCATTTCGTTTATTCACGCAATCATATATAGTTGGTTGCCCAAACGCGATTGGGATTGCTGAAACAAAATTTGGCAAAAACAATGCGGACTTTTGGCAAGTGTTGCTGTTAACTGCCCACTTTTGAGTATCGACCTTGACTGTCCTCATGTATACGCCTTGAACAAAAGCATCGATCCTCAGTGAATGGCGATGCCTGTCAGTAAAACGCGGAATACGGAAAAACTGTAAACGCCAACCGGAAACTTGAAATGAAGTCTTCACAATAGAATTAGCTCTGCCTGTATATATAAACATAAATTATAATTTATAACTTAGCGAATTATAACTTAGATTTTCACAATTTTCTCGTGATTAATAGCAATAACAGGTCGCAGTGTAGGAGAAGCTCTTCGGCAAGTTAAATACAGCGGGCTTTGGTTCAATTGGTTAGACTTTCGCAATTACACTAAGCTGAATTTTTCGGTGGAAAAAAGGGATTTCGCTACGGTTGAATTCTTACAACCATACTGAAAAGAAAATCAGGCGAAAAATTTCGTTCAACCGACGAAATCCCTTCTATAGTGAAAAACCGCCCTTAAAGGCTACACAGACCGGACCCGATGCGGCAGCGCGGCGCGAATTTTTAGTTTCAGAAGCATATAATAAAATTAAATTCTGGCATCGAAATATGGAATCTATGGAATGGTAATACACAAAAATATTATGATAAGTTAAAAGTTTATTAGGCCTTTTGAAAAGTAATGTGGAATCTATGGAATGGTAGCTAATATGCAGGAATATTATGATATGTTAATTTTAATGGACTTATTAAGCTTTTGAGAAGTAAAAAACTTTGAAAAATCGCACCGCGTCGCCAAATCGCGTCCTGTCTCAGTGTGTGGGCCTTTAAAGCCCGTTTTCCACTACAGTGAAGCGGATTTATTATTTTGTAGTTGAGCAATTCGTTCCAGATGGTGCATGAATGCATTTGACAGCTCTCAATAAACAAAAGTAAAATGTCCGTTTTGCTCGAAAATTATCACTAGTGGAAAACTTCCTTTATACCGCGCTTTTTCGCATATACCATGCACGCTTCTGCCAGTCTTCGTTCCACGCGGCCAATCCGGGTTTTTTAACATACCATAAATTCGCCCACGGGAATTTGTATAACCTGATTCATTGTCTAAATTGGGTCGAAGCCTTATCTACCGTTCAAGGAAATCGGTCAGATCTTATTGTTGATCTTATTTAGCTTAGCTGCATTCTCTTATAAAAAACGGCCTTCTGAAAATATTTTTTTGAAGTTGCTTCGCAACGTATAGTTGAGAATGACATGATCGTGATTAATGATTTTTACTTTAATTTCGTATTAGTTTTCATCATATTTCCACTATTTACACAGCAAGCAGAGATTCGCATGACAGTACACGACTTTCGTTTTATTAATTTGCCACAGACGTTTAATCAACACATATCGGTGTATGATTTTTAAATCGTGTTTGGACGCGCATATCAAACTGATTCAAGGGCTCGTTCGAGGTTTCGCAAGAGGGCCTATCAAGACGTTATCATTATTCGGCATTTTTCATTTATTTCAGTAAAACACATTTGAAAAAGTATTTTTTTCATTATACCTATATAGCTAATATAACTGCTTATCGTTTATGAGCTGAAATACTGGTTAAGTCTGTTGTGCAATCCGATTGGCCGAGCTATTCACAGTATATCAGCTCATATACGATGACTAATTAAATAAGCCCACGAGACTGGCGGAAATTTCATGTCTCTACCCGCGCCTGCCCGACTCCCACCCGTCTGCCCGCCAATCATTTTTTATACTTAGTTATACACAAAATTCTAGGTGTGGAGGAAAACGAAAAATGCTAAGTAAAACACTGAGAATTTGTGATGAGAAATTAAAGTGTCGCCAAATTATGTCGTCTCTCCTTTTCATGTCTTATAATAATTTATAAACTCGTTCAAATGCCGCGCATTCATTTTGACCAGTTGACCTGGAGCCGCCCTGCATGCAAGTAATTGGGTAGCTTTTGTATTCTGAAGCACGCATTTTAGAAATGAAGATGGTTTAATCAACAAATAAATGTATGACATCTCTTTGAAGTCATTCGTCATTAATTTAATCTAAATTAAAAATGGAACTGGTTAAAAAAACAATTGAAATTTCGCTTTGATTATTTAAAACTACTCGTAGCACATTATATAGTTGAATTTGATATAGCTCGAGTTAATTATACCTACATGATAAAAGATTTTTTACTTTTATGACTGGAATTCAATACAGTTAAGAGCACAAATGCTTTCGGCAACTTTCAAAGAAAAACTGAAATTATATAGTCGTGTTAAAGTCTGAAAATGAACTGCATTTCACAATAATCTTTAACTGTTGGGAAAATACGTTAATAGACCTTATGCATTTCAGGTAACAAGCCGTGACACCTGCAGGGAATTATGGTCTTAACAGTCACGGCGGGAAATTTTGAACTTTTAGGAAACCAGAATTCCCTGCAGGCGTCACGGCTTAATACGTCATTATATGCATAAGGTCTATTGCTTTAAATAGGCGAAAGGATTTTGCATGCATGTATTTCAAGTTTTATTTTATCTCTATAGTCCAATTTGCTTCTGTCAGTGTGTTCTGTACTCTTAAAGCCCTGGGCAAACTAGGAAACATTGTTGCGGAAACATTTATGTTTCGCAATGTTTCCTCATATGTTTCCCTGTTTGCCCACCCTGGGAAACATTGTTGCGGAAGCAAAATTTGCTTCCGAGGAAGCAAAAATGTTTCCTATCAAATTCAGAAACATTATATGTTTCCCAAGTGTGATTTTGGTTGCGGAAACATTGTTTCCATGTTTGCCCATATGTTTCCGCACTTTTTACCAATTAGAGCATGCGCATAACAAAGAGTAGATATATATTTACTCTTTGCGCATAACAAACAAGTGAAACAACACAAAAAATGGCTGAAAGCACAATAGCAGTTGTTGTAGACGAACAAAGCAATAATAAAAGGGGTAAAAGCGAACGAGTGTGGAAAGATACTGAAACAGAGAAACTGATAAGTTTGTACGAAGCAAGAAACTGTTTATGGGATGTTGGTAATGCAAATTAGTTTTGGTTTTAAAAAAATAATTGCTTCATAGGACTGATTTCCTCTGAGCGCTATATATTGTTTCTCACTGATGTTTCCCAGTGTTTGCCCACCCTGGGAAACATTGAGAAACATTGGCGGGAAACAATGTTTCCGAAACAATGTTTCCTAGTTTGCCCAAGGCTTTACAATGATACTGACTACATTCCATAAAAACCTTGAAAACCCAAGCGAATGCCTAACTTTATTGAATGTTGTCATTATGAAAATATCGAAAACAACATTGACGAACGCAAATAGGTATGGTAAGGACTTTTTAAGAAAATTTCTTTCTTTTATGTGATCCTTGCATATACGGATAGGAGTCACGTTTAAAATTTCCTTTCAACTATATTTTTAGCAACTGTAGAAATAAGATATATTATTACCACAAATTTGCAGATGCAAAATATTTTCATTATCCGTACTTTTGTGAATTTGAAAAAGTGCTTCATATGTTTCACAAAGCATACTTGGACTGAAGATTGGAAAGTATATTACTGTAAAAAATATACTTGTAGGTGAAATGGTTATCAAAAAGAATGTATATGATTACGATATATTGATGTATGGAGCTAGGTAATGCCATGCAAAGTGGCAAAGTTCTGTCCCATCTGCATGGTACAGGGCTAACCCCTTGGAATCGTCTCCCTCCGCTTTAGCTAGCCAGTAGTAGCGTAATGATCGTCGCTCGCGTTCACGATATGTTTCTTCGCGATTTTGCTCGAAGACGGAGAACGAGCAGGGAGCAAGATTTGGCCTGGTGCATTGCAGAATTTTTAAGCATAGGTATTCACGTACAGCCCGTTCAAAATTTGTTTATTGCTTCAATATAACATGAGAGTTCGCCGACGTACCTTTACATTGACTATATTGAAATATTCGAACCAGGACCACATCGACAAACAGGTAATACTTTCTTGAAGAGTGACTTCAAACAAATCTTAGCTAATCTTGGGCTTGGCAAGTACAAACTTTAATCATTATCTTTCGATTCCTCATGCCGAGATAAACTTCATATCTTTCGATTCCTCGTGCCGAAGCAAACTCCACATCTTTCGATTCCTTGTGCCAAAACAAACTTCCTGTTTTAAGAAATTATATACCGTATATGTCATTCATATGGACAGGCATATATATTCAAAATTGAAACCGAAATTTGCCCAATCTCCCCTTCCCAAATAAGGCAAAAAAATCTCATACAGACCACCTCTCGAAGTGCAGTTATGAAATGTAAGCATACATTTTTGTGAGAATGTCAAATATATAGCCTGTATTTGTATGATATACAAAAGCAAAGCTCAATCATAAAAATAAGATACAATTCAGCTTCAGCATCGCTTCGGCATGAATACTGCTGACATTGTATAAATGAAAACAATAGATTTACGTGTCAAATATTTTCCAAATGAATAACAGCCATCGATAGAGACCAACATCTATATAATCTATGATATCTATTTATTGATATATAAAGCAACGGAAGGTCTAAACGCTACAGACTTTAGCCAGACAAAGCAACCAAAACTTTTACAGTCTTTAGCGAATGCGCACTAACCTTTGAAACAGATTTCATGGCTATAAAAACGTTATAAAATAAAATTCCAGTCAAGCAACATTAACAGATTTAAAGGCCATGCTAAATACACGATAAAGTACACATTTCATACCTGTAGAAAAGAGCTCGATGCCAATTTAAGTGTTTATTATTGTCAAATATTTTTAATGGCGAAATTTTTACTGTTTTTTAAGGTATTTTATAATATCCGAACTGACCGATATGAGTGATGAAAGTCTCTGGATGGACCCATAATGCTACTGTATCTCAAGAAGGTAAAAAAATTAGCTAATTTATACGAAATATCAAATATATCATCTCTCACTAACCAGACGTTCTTTCGAATAAGAGACTAAAATTATTTGTTACGTAAAAATATTTTATTCTTGCACCATTTACTTTACAATAATATTCTTGAAAGCCAATTATTCAGGCTGAATTACAAATTAGTAATATACATTTCATATGATTTATCTCTTGACTCTCATTAATTTCAAGAAAGGCAGACGACCAAGATACAGTGGCGTAGCCAGCTTGATGATATAGTCATGCTATGCAAATTTTAAGTTACGTATTACCATAATTAATTTCTTTAGAAATGCATTGTTTTCACAGTCAATGGACACCAAAATATTAGCATAGCATGACTAAATTGTCAGGCAGGCTACGCCACTGCCAAGATATTGGCTGGATGAAGGGCAGTCGCATATACAGGGTAAGTCAGAGACTATGGACACCATTGTGATAGCACACCTCAGAGAAGCACTATAACAATATTAATTATATGCTGGCGGGTCATATGCATTATTAAGACAGAATAAATGAGCAAGTCAGAATAAATTACTATACATGTAGTTCTAAATTGCAATTATAGTTTTGGATTCTTAAGTAAAAATATACTTCATAATTTGAATATAAATCCATAGAATTATCATTAAGCTGTTTGAATTGGAAATTAGGCTGTGTAATTTATTCTGACTTACCTGAATCCGCTGTTGATGAATAGTGCCGATGGGGCAAGGGGCTGACTGGGGACCAGAAATGTCTAATTGTAGGAACTTCAAGTTATTCGAACCGTTAGGTACAACATGTGATTGTTGATAAAATCATTCTCTTGTAGCTATATAGAATAGCTATGATCCAACCTTAAATTTTTTCATTGAACCCATTTTTATTGAACTGTGGTATTTCAACAATATTCAAACAACAAAAACAAGGTCCTTCTAATGTATAACACAGGCTATCAAAAGTGACTACCATGTATGATGTATGTCAACCAAGGTTGGCTACCTTAACCTTGGTTGGGCAGCACCCATCAGTAGAGCATTGGACTGGTGAACCCTAGGTTTTGTGTCCACACAACAGTCAAAATATTCTCTTTCTTTCAAGATATTTTCCCACCAAAGGAACATAACTGCCCCAAGCTCAAAAATTCTGCATATGACCCTGCCCTCTGACCGTAATATTTTGTTACAAACTACCGACTGTGTAAAACCACTGATTAGGCAGGCCATTTTCAGGCTTTGTCAAATGTTGTACTATTTTCTTGAATCCCGTAGTGTACAGCATTATAGAGTTTAGATAAGTCTGACAGATATTTTAACATAAAGCCTGAACTATTTTGGAATCAAACTGCCCATATGCACAATAAATAAAAATACTATTTACAAACATTGACGTTTGTTGGAAGGTAAAATTTCATATGATTGATACAGTATCTCTAAATTATACACCAAGGTATTGTCGCACCTAGGATATAAAAGCATTGATTTAGTCACAAATCTCCAGTTTTAAAAGGGCACACAAATTAAGAAGAACCTTTCCTAAAATGACCACAATCAGTGTCAAAGGTTAATGCTACTAATAAAACTTATGCTGCTTTACCCTTATGCAGGGCTCAAAATAACAGTTGAAATATCAGCGGTCAAAATGACCGGTCAAATTTATTTTAGCTCGGTCAAAATCGGTTTTTGACCGGTCACTAATACAAATAATATAAAATAAAAACAAGAACAAAAAATGTTTTCAGTCGTACAGATTCTTATTTTTGACATTTTAAATGCTCGAGACGTTTCGTGCATCGCCTTTCTATAGTGCTATCGGTAAAATCATTAGAATTATCGTTTGAAAACGTTGGCACAAAACACACATGAATATCGTGGATGGATGAATCTATTAGTAATAACTTGCACGTACAAGAAAAACTCAACTGAACATCTCCATCGGTTATAGGGATGGTAATGAGTAAATAAGATTATCAAACAAACTTATAAAAATAGACTTGAATTACATAAATGAGGTAGACATAACACTATTCACTATTGCCTTGCATAAAGGCCAAGAACGAACACTGTTTTTCCGCATATGCATAAATTGATTTAGGTCTTTTTTTGCGTACAATAATTGCATTTTCGACAAGAAATCTAGTCTTCCTTTAACAGCACTGAAAAGAACACTGATTAGTTAATTTTTCCGAAAGACGTGAAAACTTGGCCGGTCAAAATGACCGGCATAGTAAGACAATGACCGGTCAACAAGCATTCTTGGCCGGTCATTGTCCGTTGACCGGCCGTTATTTTGAGCCCTGCTTATGCTCAGAGCACTGTAGCTAGAAGTCTAATTGGAGCTGGGTGTATATTCATTTATTAACCTTGTGCGTGGTTGATTTCTTTTGTACACTACTCCTAGTGTTCCTATGCCACATAAACATGAATCCCTAGAATTAAGTGGTCTAGCGAAAACAATAGCATAAAGGATAACCCACAACTGCTAAAAACCTTCGTTTGGGAAAAACCTTCACATTAGAAAAGTTTTTAGTTAATTTAGCACATGCTATTCAAAGTATCCTGTCATATGTCCTAAACATATGCTAGCTAGGTATTTGAAACATCTGCAGTATTCCTACTTACCATGATAACATGCATTTGGGAAAGCACAACAGTTATTGCTAAAGTTGCAGGACCAACGTAATTTACAAGAACAACCCATCTCTAGGAAAGCAATATGAACATTTTTGAAACACAAGAATGTGTACAATACTTTTATCAAAATGGTTATCATTAAAATTGGTAGCCATAGTATGGGTGACCATATTTACCACATTCATGCTCACTTGTATCGCTGTAGTTTTAATTACAGATATGCAACCTTTCTGCCTACATAGTGGCATGATATATTTGACATTGACAAATGAAATTGCTTTAATTATATTATTATAGACCATAAAATCAAGTGATGGAAAAGCATACAATGTATGTAGATAAAAATTCTAAAGCAGATGCCATCATGTCTGAGTCAAACTTAGGCTATGTGCACACGAGCGTCGTTTTCGCGCGTTTTCAAAATCGTTTTTATCTAGTCTATCGCTTTGACGCCCTGTCCACACTATCCAAAGGAAAATATTCTCAATATGTTAAATTAGCTTCAACTTCTATTGTTTTTTGACGATGTTTGAAACCGTTTTGGCATGAAAACGAAAATGAAAACGCTCGAAAACGTTACCGTGTGCACATAGTCTTAATCCATGCAATTAAGTATATAGTGACATCAAATATTAATCAGATTAATACTTGGGCAAGTGGCAACAGGGCCTGGCAAGATCCCTTATCAGAGTCCATATGCAGACAGGCAGAAAAATAGACAGACCACCGATGAAGATATACTTTAGATATACACACAGTTGTACTGTAAATGTGGTACTCACCCAAAACTTGTCAAAAAATATTGCTACAATAGTGAGCTCTAAGAAAATGTCTGCTGCACACAACTTCCACAGCCACAACACTGCCCAGGTACTGTGGAAACTTAATGCTTCAGCTTGTAATACCTATAAAGGAAAAAGATACTGTGAAGAAATGTACTAAAGAAGTGAGCCCTTTTCTTAACAAAGGCTTTTAATGTTAAGGGAGTGAAAAACATCAATGTGAAAAGTTGCATTGAATGTGTTAATGTTCTTCCTAACATTGAAATTTAGGTACCCTCTAATTGCAACTAAATAAACAAAATTTGTCTCCAGTGAGGTTAATATTACAGATAATTTGTGGTAAAACATTAAAACTGTTAACTCACAAAACATAATGTTTTTAGCTCAGAAGGCCAATTTTGTTAACCTAGACATATACCTGTATAACCAGGGAGTAGCGTGGCAGCATCTTCAAACAACTTAGCATCAAAGGTGGTATGACAACTGACTAAAATAGACAAAACACTTCTCGTTTCGACCTGAGGGCCTTTGTCAGGAGTAAGAGGTCATACTAACTCTCCTGACAAAGGCCATCAGGTCAAAACATCAAGAAGTGTTTTGTCTATTTTAGGCAGTTGTTATACCACATTTGATTCTAGACATATACCGGGTCTACCATTAAGTATGTGTGTGAAAAACAGTATATACTGCTTTGAAAAGGTCAAAAGTTGAAATTAAAACATGCATGAATTAAAAATAATCACTTGTAATTCATAAACACAGATGCACTTCTCAAGTGCAATATATACAATGTTCAGAAACTTTTGCATATCACAATACTAAAACTGAAATGTCACACACACCAAATGTCTAGGATGTATACATATATGGTTGGCCAGCTGGGAAACCCGGCAGCATTGATAATTTGCATGTATATTTTATAAGTGGTCATGGACTCATGGCAATTAAGAATAGATCTGAGTAATTTAAATATGTTCTAGCTTAAACCAAAGCCAAATACCTTAGCCAAACACAATATGGTTAGTTGTATGTTCTAGCTTTGCAAACTGTATTCAAAGGTGACAAAGATTTGCTACTTCACTTTCGGCCAACATGCTAAGGGGTAATAATTAGCAACAGTATTCGTAAAAACATTGTTCTATTACAACCATAAATTATTCATACCAACTCATTTGATTCAACTGTAGTTGCGCGCTTTTATCGAACAAATTCAGCTGTGACTCGGCTCAGATTTATAAACTGCAGACAAATAATAGCTAGTTAGACTTCTGGTCTGGCAGTAAGCGGAATATTTGTACAGTAGATCTGTAAATAAGCCGTATTGTTACAACCGGCATAGGTATAAATAGTCTTTTGAAAAATTTGAAATTCAAATGTTAAAGGGAACTGTGAAACGAAAGCAGACAATGGCTCGTCTGTAGGGGACTTTGTGTACTTTGCTCACAAGGAAGCCAAACGTTTAATAAAGCTATTAATTTACAAAACATTGCGACTATGAAAAATATTTTCATGTTTTCGAAGTGATGCACTTACCGGTGAGATGGCATCGGATTTCACTTCGAGCAGCGTATGATATTCGTGTAGAAAATGATCCCAAAAGCCTGACCGGGCCGATATTTGTATCCCATAAGCGAGCATCATTATTAATATTTTCTTTTTGCTTTCATAGAATACAATTACTTTCTCCTTGTACTGACTGTTTGACTTGCCGTAATAGTCAATCATTAACGCCATTTCAGCGTCGTCGTTCGGGTACTCCTTGCGTTTAACAGGAGGACACCTCAAAAAATACAAAATACAAGAGACCAGCACAAGAATACAGCCTATAAAATCGGCCGCAGCGTCTATAAAATACCCATACGTTCCCCAACCGTTCACAAACGACGTCTTCATGTTCGATTGTGCCCTATAAACCACGCCGTCGAAAACGTCCAAGAAGCATCGAAATTCGAATACGATACAACCCAATCGTCGGATCCAAATGTTTCTTTCGTACATTAACCTGCCTGAAATGATTGCCACAATAAGATGTAGGCCGCTTATAAGGTTCGGACTTACCCACGACAACTTCGAGATCTTGTATTTAGCGTCGACATGCTCAGATAAAGGCAACCAAACGTAGTGGCTTATGTGGTCTTGCATTCGCAGTTTCACAGATTTGACGGGAAACCTTGAATTTGCTGCTTTCGCCTCCGTCGAGTTCGCAATCAAACCTTGTTCTTGCATCTCGCCAAAGAAGCTCATGTCCATCCATACGAAAAACGTCAAGGAAGCGAATACGAAATAAAACACGGCGTTGTCCTCCCAGCCCATTGTTCAATGAACTGTATATTCGATACTCAAATATATTTTATATATTTGTAACACGAATAAACCCCTGTCAAAGTTGCGTAAAAACGCTTCACGGTTTCAAATCACAGACGTCTCGAAATACATTCAGTGGAAACGCGGACTGGCTTCAGTGACAACTGTAAACGTCTCCCACGCATCGGTATTGAAAAACCTTTATAAAATTGAACCAATGGTTCGTCTCCCGTACTCGAAATTCACATTTCGACAAGCATTAAAGCCAGAGTCCACAATCATCAGGCCATTGTCACACCACTTTCATGTTTTGTTAAAGAAGGCCTGCGATTGGTCAGTTTCCAAGGCATTGTTTCGTTACTTCCGTCATATCGCAGGGAAAAACACCTGGCAATGTGCCCACGTAAAAAAAATCCCGAAGAACTTCGTTATAGCTTTGGGGGTAATTTTGATTTTATGCTTTAGTCCGTAATAACTTATTCATGAAAGACCTCATGGGGAAGAGTGAAATGACAATTTTCGCATATTATAGAACTCCCACATAAGTAAATTCGAGCCCTCGCTGCAAGTGAATATTGGCAGATGAAAAATCGTCACTGTCACGAAATATAATACTGGGACACTCAATGCATATAGAATTCGTTATGAAATTATGAGTCTGCGTTTTTACTAATTTTACGATAGATACTGAATTTCCGTTTCGGCTTAGAGTAAGAATGTTTGTGACGTCATCTAATTATGTTCCTCTTCTTCACAGAGGCCTCTTTGGGGCTTTACTTTTGATTTAAGTTTTGATAAAATTTTATCATTGAGCAGCCCAGCAAACAGTGTTCGGTTGACTCGCATGGTGCGTCATTGTATCAGTTCCTTATAATAACATATTTACGTAACCAGGATTTTAAACACGGAATATTCGTGGGAAAGGGATTCCTATCTCAATGGATTCACCGGATCCATGCATACTTTGTTTGTTGAAATATGATAATTTTGTCAACTTTGTTGCGGTTGAATCATCGAATTTTAAATTATAACCCATTTTCGACTCGAACAGTCGAACTTTGCTAAAAAATCACGATATGTGCTCTAGCGACCGCATATTTGTAAAATTGTCTATGGTAAAACACATTTTCAATCATACGTCACGAACGTTCACGTTTTCAGTGAGTGTTTCAGTGCCGATTGGCTCACGAGTAAAAAGCACCCGGCCCAAAGACATAAATCGAAAGGGTGTATGTATGTGGTTTGTGAGTATTGAATGAAGGTATTGAATGGCCCCCCCGGGCCAAATATCCTAGGAAATTTGGCCCCCCCTTCGGAAATTTGGCCCCCCTCTAAAAAACATAGTTTACCTTACCATTTTAGAGCTAGAGAACTGTTAGGTGTATAAAAGTTTTAAGTTTATAAAAGTCTATCTAGCTGTACTCTTGTTTGAGTTACAACTTACAAACAGCACTGACGGATTTTGTATGGTGCATGTAACCTTGTTTTTGTGTTTGCCGATTGTTTTTAAACGTTTTTATGCAAATTTGTATTAATCCCTAAATGTTAGCCGCATGCATATTAACACTTTCGCCAACGCATGTTGTCATCGGTTGCTAAAGTATGCATGGTTGTTATTCTAGTTCTAACGAATTTCATATTAGGTTCAGAAACTTGTTGAATACTGAGTCAAAAGTTCGCGATTTCAAAACTATTATATTTTATATATATATTGAGAGTATAAAGTATGTTATCGAGGCGGACCAAATTTCCGAACTGTGAAATACGTGATTTGTCCTCCCCAGAAATTCTTAATTTGGCGACCTTATAAAGGCTATAAATTATAGGCTTAGCGGTTATACATACATAGGAAAGGTTGTTTTAGGAAATTACCACTTATTTATTTATTTCTCGATTAAAGCCCCTAGTAATGTTATGATAATCCTAGAAGTTAGCCACGTGCACATTAACAATATTCGTCTTAGCTCTTCGCCGAGATGAAAAGGTTTTACACAAATAAATGAAGCAAACTAAGTATGAATACAAACAAACATTTACGATCTTGCTTTTAGAAGCTTCGCGATTCTCGAACTCATAGCAATAAAGTATATTGTTTTCGAGGGGGCCAAATTTCCTAGGAAATATGGCCCGGGGGGGCCAAATTTTGGGGGGGCCAAATTTCCTGGGACACCGGGTTGGGCTGTTATTCACACTACACCACTGTAATCACTCCGCTTTTGTATGTACCCGAGCAGTGTAAACAGACCAATCCAGTACAAAACAAATTTTGGCGTGAAATTTGTATTATAACAAAAAACATCGTTGTTTCTAAGGACTTACAACATACTTCGGAGTGAAAAGTATGTAGAGTGATGTATTGTGTCAAAGTCTATAATGCAAAAGGTCTATTAATTCAGTATGGAAAGTAATTCGATAGAGTGTAAAGGCTAGTTTCCACTCAGGAAAAATCTCCTTTGAATCGGACAGGACACGAAAGTTTCCTTTGTATAAACGCCGTCTGAAAACTCACCGACAAAGGAAATTTTCCTGTCCGTTCCGATCCAAAGGAGATAAACGGGGCCTAAATTCCAATCCACTTACTGGGCAATGAGGGGGGGAGCTGCGATTTTATGTGCGATTTTCTTCTTTTGATAGATGTGAACGAGTAGTGATTAAATAAAAGCTTTTATTCATCAGAGCATTCGTAACTAATTACTCGTTCTCATCTATCAAAAGAACGGTAAATCGCACACATAAAATCGCAGCAAAAATCGCAAGTGTAAACGAGCCTTTACACAAAAGCCTCTGCGGAGGAGAGCCCTGGTGCAAAAGTGCAGGTCAAACCTTTAGAGAAACCTCTAGCAAAATTACGGAGCTGTAAGAAAAATGTTCGCAGTTCATTCGTTCAAAACCGCTTACGTACACGCCTAAAAACGATCAGGTTGATACAATACTGATATGAACCGGATGGAACAATGTTGTGCTGCCCACATTGTCTGGAGTTGTTATCAACATTGAACAATATTGTCACACCCGATTCATTTTCAACAATATTGTTCAATGTTGTTGACAAGTGTGAACAATAATGGCAGCACAACATTGTTCCACGCTAATAAACCTTAGGATCAGAGTTTTCAGCCGTGTATGTATTGACACAGAATAGACACTACCAGCAGAAGTCTCAGTCTTTGTATGTTTTTGTGCCCGAAATTTTTCAGACAAAATTTCTACGCCATCCTGGTGTGTGCAGGAACTTTGCACCCGCATCAAAAAGTTTCTGCACACATCAGGATGGCATGAGCAAGATACAAACTGGATACTAAGCGCCAGCTTTAACCTTAGGTGGATGCTGGGTAAGCGTTACCACATACAGAACCCTTCAAATTTATTTGTCGCTGGTAAAACAGGACGAATTTGATTCTTGAGGGTGGGCACCTCAGTTTACACCTTATAAACCGACCACTATTTGATAAACAAAGAGTAATTTGCCAAATTTTAATAAATACCTATACTATAGCTTCGTCTTATGGACCGTGTGTATATGCAGGGCGTTGGAGAAAAGGTGATAAGGGACCATTCACAAAGATATTTCTCATTCACCACTTCACAGGGTAACTCGCGAAGCTCGCATGTTTAGACCCCCTCCTTCTGGACACTCATCATGTCCAAAGAAAGGATATGAATGTCTACATTTAAGAAGTCACTGGGAGTGACGCAAAGGCCTGAATTCGAACAAATAAATATGTCCGGAATAACACCCACTTCCCTCCAAACCCTGGATACGAAGTTGACTCCCCTCTTGTTCTTCGCTTGAGTTTTCTTTGTGAATAGCCCCGACAGTCACTGAATCATACAAAATGATCAGGCCATGTAGGGTCGAGCGTCACTCTCCTATAGAAAAGAGTGATGGTTGATCCTGGCCCAATTTAATTAAAAATACATTTTCTGACACTCTGCCTTTTTTGAAAGGCACACGTCACTGGTAGCTTTATCTTGCTCAATAACTTTTCAATTTCATGCTGTGTATTTTTTCGTGCTTTATATCTGCAATCCCAGCAGACTAAAGCTTTTTTAGGCAAACAAAATAGCCGAATTCATATTAGCTATGGGGAAAAGAAACTCATCTTTAGACGGGAAAGTGATAGTAAAAACCCTCTCATGATGGATAATGCTAAAAAAGGTATCTTAATAATTATACGATAACAATTTGTTTATTTTCTCTCACTTTTCCAGCGGCCTTTTCCGTCCATGAAGCATGACCGTGTTGATATTTCAGAAACTGGTCTGATTTAAGACGAGTTTTCCGTCTCCGACGAGTTCCCTTCTCTTATATAAATTCGGCTACTTGTCAAACATGTAAATAGCAAAGAAAATAATCGAATAAAGTACAGTTAAGTACAAGTAAAGTACAGTACCCTTCCCCCCACCCCAATTCGGGGTATTTTCCTCTCTAGTTACTCACATTTTCGGTGAAAATTCATTAGCTATTTCTTTTGTTGAGCATTGACATTGTCTAACGTTTGCAAACTAGACTTGTTCATGTTTCCTGTAAACTCGGCTGCAAGAGTATCGATTTTGAGTCCTAAGTCTTGGACTTGGCGTTTTAACGAGGCGTTCTCGTCTAGCCGAGCCTGTTCTTTCTTCGCCTCTTTCAGCTTCCCACGACGATACTCGACACAAATGAGCGCCATGCAAATGCTGAGAACTATAGCTTCACCTAAAGCTTCTGCACCCAATTCAACCGCACTGCGTTCGTTTAAGGGCTTAATCTCTGGGATCCCTTTGTGGCCAAGAAATCTCATCTTAACGCTCATTTCCATCCAGTGGTAGGCTAAATTAAAAAAACAAATGGGATGCAATAGACAGCCTAACTTTGGGTTCATGCCAGAGCCTTTCGAGGGAATTTTGAGGCACAAGGCCAAATAATAGGAGGCAGGCCCGGGTGCCAGGGGGGATTGCAGATCGAGGGAAAGTGAAAAATGTGTGTTATAACTAATTTCCTACCTCTCTTATTTTACTATCTTCAAAAGCCAGTTACCTTTCAAATAATTTTCTGGAAATTTGACAATAGAGTACAAATATGGATAGGAACACAGGGGCATTATAAGGTCACACAGACCTGCACATTCACAGACCTGCACATTCACAGCCATTGTACTTCTTTTATAGTAGCCATTATATATCTGAATGTTCCATTTAACTTAGCTATGGGACAGATAATGATATCTGTGAACACAACACAACAATACCAAGTTATTGACTATCTATGAAACATGTTAACAATATAGGCAACAGCATGCACAGCGCAGTAACATCTGTGCATGAAAGTCCTTTACTGTTTTTTTTCCAAACTTAAAATGACATTTAAAATCAATTTACTTACCAATACACATGTCTAGCACATATTTTAGGGAAAATTAAAATCTGCTACAGCTGTACGTATCACTCTGGTAGAACCCTGCATTTGAATGCATGTGGACATTAAGTTCGAGACACAAAAAAAATTGTCTGCGAAAATTTTTATAAATAGCTGTGAGATTCCTTATTTGTGTGTTCAATGTAATTTTCCGTTGGTGCATATAGTTTTTTGGTAATTAATATGCACTGATATACTGTGCATTTTTATAATGATAATATTATGTAGTACATTTTACATATAGTAATACTGTATGCTGGTTACTGGGATTTATTATCGAGATCAATTCTTTTTTCCAACTCTAACATCAGTGCTATTGCAAAACTTATTGCTGAATAAAAATAACACCTGGGTACATAACATTAGGAAGAACATGGAAGTGTATGCCCTGTTTCATTTTGCAAAATGAGAAAAGTGCCTATGATTTCTTTTCTAAAGAAGTGTCTAATTCCATTGAATAGCCAAAGTCTATATAAATTAATGACACTATAGCAATGGGTAACATTGAACAACGAGATGTATTTTCAGCCCTCCACTTTCCCCTCAACCTTAATTAAGTAAAGAATAATCTTGCACGTGCTACACAACATACTATGAGAAGGGGTTTACACAAATATAATACAATATGGTTTCACACCCAACAAAAAATTGTCTATTTAAATGTTGCATCACAACTTTATCAAAAACTAAACAAGACAAGACAAAAATTTCAAAATTATTCTAAATGAAAAATGTGCCTGTTGATTGCCAATGAATATGTCACTAGTCCTTTAAAAACAGTTGGCATGATCTGTGAATAAATAGATTTCCTTGAAAACACCAGATAACTTGTATGTTTTCAGCAAAGGCACTTTATCCTGATAGTTAATGCCATCATCACACAAGGGGTACATGGGGTATGAGATGCCTTTGCTTGGCAATGTTATTTGGTAGCTAGCTTACTTTCAATGCTCAAAATTACATTTCAATTTCTCTGTTTTTTCAGGTAATTAATCTGTGTTTTTACACTTGGCACTAATGTTGAACTACAGCTAGTAGCTATGACACGTGTCACTGTTGGGGATGGCGAGGGGTCGTACTGTTGTGTACAGGTGAGCTAATGGGTACCCGGTGTCACAGGAAATTTGGCCCCTCCGAAAATATGGCCCCCCTGGGAAATTGCATTTCTAGGTACATAAATTGCTCGCCTCATAAATATAGGGTTATAATTTTATTTCAAAGATTGAGTGCGAACATAAACAGGTCAGTGGTTGTTGGATTCCTTACCTCTTCAATGAATACGTGCTCATAAAGTCAAAGTTAAGTTAACATTTAATATGATGAGAACTACTGAATACTGATTTGGAGAAATTGAAATATGTAATAATATTTGTTTGATTAGATTATGATTATCACAATACAGGAGTTGACTGCCCTGTTAGGATTGTCGTTTATGGGCAGATTTGACAGACGAGCAAAGGTATTTCGATTCAAAATAAAAGATCAATATATACGCTATATTTGCAACATTCCAGGAGTTGAAGAATAACCTATGTTATTAATGATCAATATTTAATAATATTTAACCAATCAATGAATAAATCAGGTAAAGTCGTAGTTTAAAACTTACTTTGTGCTGGCAAAACGCAAACATACTTTCTGAACACAGCATTTTTCCTTGCCAAAGACTTGATACCCTTGGCTACTGGCTTTGCGGTTTGTCGCATGACCAAAGTGAGTAGCTTTGCCAACGGGAATGGAGCAACCATATTTATAATTTTATATCTGGAGAATTGATTTTACTGATTCTAATAACCACGGTTAATAATAACCAATGAACTATCTCCAAACATACATAATATGTTCATTTGTTTTTATTTCACTAGTAGGGCCAAAGGCCTCCTGACATCCAATGAATAATGATCTAAATTACTCTCCCCGGTATGTTATTCCCAGTGCTTCCACTCTAATATTTTAAATTTCCTGGAATTTAGGTCAAAATTTCCTTAGATTTCCTTGCCCAAGCTGTAGAATTTCCTTGAAATTTCCTTGAAATTTTTGAAAAGCTCTCAGTCAATTAAAACCAATTTAACTCGTTACACATTAGAAAACAATGCAATATGCTCTCATTCATTAACTTTTAAGCTTTAATTAAATATCAACAGTTTTGACATACAAATCAGGTGCATGCAGCATGATGACCAAATATATTAAACAATGTGCAACAAAAAAATTCTTAATTGTCTGCATAGTTACATCCTCATAAAGAATCAATGATCAATATCGGCCCTATGTCATTGGCCAAACGTGTCTAATTACCCCCCGAAACGTTGTTTAAACTAAACAAACGCAAAATATTTTGCATGCTTCATTTCCTTCAAGCTTGAACACAAATGCGGTATGCCAAATGGCAGTAATTCTAATGTATTTTATATCAATCTGCCCCATCATGCGATGTTCATCTTTTTTAAAAAGTCTTTCCTTAGCTGGTTGACATCATCATTGTCAGCATTAGTCACCATTTTCTTGTGAAGATTAAGCATGTCCCTTGAAGGTACAAGTTTTACAGATGAGTTGTTGGATTTCAAAAGAGTTAATTTTGTTGTTAATAAAGCCAGTAAACTTTCTTGCTTTAAACAAGATCTGTGGTCTGTTTTGATTAACTTTAATTGGCTAAACACTCTTTCAACTCCAGCATTGGAATATGGTAGTGACAACAAAACTTTCAGGACTTTGACTAAATTTGGTCTGGCAAGTTCATGTTCATTTACTGATTTTCTTTCATGAAAAACAATTTGCCAGTATTCCTCTGGGGTGAGATCTTCATTCAACTTGGGATTCATAGAATGACTTCTCCATTCTTGGTCTACTTTTTGCAAATCAGCAACCTCTTCAAGGATGGGCATTTTCCTATATAGTCCACTTAATGAAGGAATCTTCAAATTGTAAGCATTTATTGGTAGAAGGCAAGAAACAAGATTATGTAGTTGGTAGCAATCACTGAATCGGGATTGGATTTGCTTCACAGCCTCAATCAAGAACTTTTGACACTGGGAATAAACAAGAGTAATACTTGGATCACTACTGCCAATCTCTTCTCTAATGGTAGCCATGGTATCTGTTGCTAAAACACCGAGATAAACTTTATCCAGAGACAGGTGCTTGTTTTTTTGCATGGATCAATCTCCAGACCATCTTTGCTTCTGATATATTCTACATCCATAAAATCAAGACACATAGCCTTAATGAGACTATCCACTGAACCTTTTAGCTGATGAAGCTGTGGCATTTCACTCTGGAACAGCAAGTTGAAAGACACAAATCTGCCTAAATAGATAAAAAACAACTGAGCATTTCATGATTTCAATAAACAAACTCAAAAAACCACTTGCATTGCATTATGATAATGACAAAATAGCAAAATTTACAAAATTATTTCATTTGTAATTTCAGAATTTTACCTAAATTAAAGTCCATAAATTCCAGATAGACTTGATAGAACTTGTTGTTCAGACTTGCCAGAATTGCATCATGAGTATTTGTGGGATCTTCAAATGCAACATTTGTAAAGTAGAGCTTTAAGGCATCATACTGCTCGAGGATTCTTTTTACACAAGCTTTCATGGATAACCATCGTGTATAACCTAGAGTTTAACAAACAAAAGTGAAAATTGAAGCTAGTTTAATCCTTTATTTTAAACTGAATTGAATTGTGTAATGTTTATTCATTATTTGAAACTTTTACTGCAACATTACCTGGGCGCAAAATTTTCAGCTCGTCTAAATCAAGAAACTGTTGGAACTCTTTAAATGCTTCACTTCTTTTACTTGACATGCTGAAATGTGAAAATATGTTCCTGCAAAGGTCTTCAACGTTTTTAGGAAAAACTTTTGATGCATGGGAACTGCACAGATGAATCAAATGACTGCTGCATTTGATTGGAATTATCCATGGATGATCTTTTATTAGCATCTGGGAAACTGAATGATTGGTGCCAAACATGACATTGCACGTATCTGAACAGAAGCCAACAACGTTCTTCATAGGAACGCCTCTTTCTTTTAAGCTGTCCAGTAATGCCTTGTAGATGGTGTCTGCAGTTCCATCTGAGAGTGGAATAAGATCGACTAGAATGATTTCAAGTTTAAATGTTTCTTCATTAAAATAGACCGCAAGTATGGCGAGTTGAGACGTTGTTGATTTATCCGTGGTTTCGTCGATAATCAACGAGAATTTGTTGTTTTTAAGCTTAAAAACACAATCTTTAATGGCATGAAAGCCAAGTACTTGCCGAATTATATTGGTGGCCTTTTGTTTTCCTAGCTTAACTTCACGGAGAGCTAGATCGGAAGGGAAAAGGTTTCGTAGCAGGGGTACAAGATCTTCCACAATGCTGATTGGAAGATTTTTTTCGGTTATGAATGAACAAATTTTGATCTCAATCCTTGCTGGATTTGGACGTGTTTCAAACACAGTAGAGGTTATTGGTGCGTTTACTTGCTCTTTAATTTTACACAAGTCCTTGTGTTTTTTGTTCTCCATATGCCGTTTTAATGCGGTTTTGGCGCAGGATAGGGAGCAATTACATATCTTGCAGTAGGGTGCATCTCTTCGCCTTTCCAGCCAATGTTTGAACTGGGGTTCAGACAGCCATGAGTTCAAAAACTTTTGGTTGTATTTCTTCTTTTTAGTGACAGGTTTGTCCCTTGGTTCACCTTCGTTCAGAAGGTCCGAATCTGAGCCATCTGACTCATTATTGTTTATAGATCGCTTCATGATTTATTCATAAACACGCCTCATATACCATTTGCTCTCATATTTTTTTCGGTTTCCCGCGTTCAAGTACGCACAATACTTCATGTAATGTTTTTGTTCCAAAATAATGTTTTAAAAAAATTATTACCAATTAGTTAGCACATAAAAAAATTGTCGCTAAATCAGTAAATCATGTCAATTTATCGACAACTGCAAGTCTCTAAAAAGTTTTAAATATATCTCTACTGATAACTGATTTCTCTACTGTATATTTATCGTATGTAGACAGTAGACTGTAGACTATTTATGATTTATCATATTTCCTTAGATTTCCTCAAACTTCCTTAGATTTCCTTGATTTTTACACATCCTTGAAAATTCCTTCTGGGGTTCAAAATTTCCCTGAAAAAGGAAATTTCCTTGAAAGTGGAAACGCTGGTTATTCCCTATTAATAAAAACCCTGGGTACGAGGTTGATTCCCTCCCTATATGGCAGCCATTTGCGCGCACCCGCAGTGAACTGCAAAAACTCTGAAAAGCCTTTCACACGATCCAATTTTGTGATATTAGTCGTACCAATTCACTTCTGATGGATTTTTTATAAACTGTTGATTTGGGCAGAAAATCAACTAAAGCCAATAAAAAACTACTTAGCATCAAATGTGGTATAACAACTGTCAACTGCCTAAAATAGACAAAACACTTCTCCGGCGACGTTTCGACCAAAGGGCCTTCGCCAGAAGAGTTAGTATGTCTCCTGACTAACTCTCCTGACGAAGGCCCTCAAGTTGAAACGTCGAGAAGTGTTTTGTCTATATAGGCCGTTGTTATACCACATTTGATGCTAAGTTGTTTGAAGACGCTGCCACTCTGCTCCCCAGTTATATTGGAACTCAATAACAAACTACATTCATTATTATTTTGGAAGTGATTGGATCCGGCAAAGTTGGAACGTGTGAAAAAGCCTTAATATCAACAGGAACGCTAACTCCTATAGTGCAGCGTAATACTTGGTTGAAGGTAAAAATTGAGTTTTTGAGTTTCATTTTCGTTCAATTCTAATAAAAATTAGCAAATGATTGTACATTAAATAGTTCTAGAGATTGCTGGATACTCTCCACCTCTGTCTCAAACGTTCAAAAACTCAACTTCATCATTTGGAGCAGTTTCAGAGCTAATTATTTTAAAACCATACTTAATCCGTAACGGCTGATTAGTAGGATTCATTAGCCTTTCGCCACAAGATCTGGTGGGCTTGTGGTGAAGACGTTGACTTGCTCAGTATTAAAGTATAGCTTATAGCCGAGATTCAACGAAGTGTGAGAGAACTTTGAGGTATTGCAATAAGTCTTTATGACACCAAACAAGCACATGCTTTCGTTAGAATGACTACACGATTACCAGGATTGTGTTATATACTTATCATTTATAGACCTGGAGCGAGGGGAGTTCGACGAAATATTACCCCCAAGGGAAGATATATCCCGAGGGCTTCGCCCAAGGGATACATCTTCCCGAGGGGGTAATATTTCGTCGAAATCCCCGAGCGGAAGGTCTATGAATTATATATTATATCGAAACAACGTGTAGGCAGCGCGAAAACTGAGTGAAATGGCTTCTTTTGCCTCCATTTTTGAAATTGTTGACAACCTCGAGTCGTGTGCGAGGAATCCACGCGTGGTACACGCAAACTCGAATACCCCGCTGCAGCGGGGTATTCGACTTTTATAGCATAATGTGAAAAAATTCGATGGAAACTCCATGAATAATTTACTGATCACGTGGTACAAATCGAGCTTTCTGATTGGATGATTTACAGTTGAGATATAATATTAATTTTAATACCTCAAAATCATCTCAATCTCGACTAACCGGGAATATGTAAACAGCCCGTTAATTCAGCTTGACTGTTCTGATTTCAAAATAAAATATGAATAAAATATTTATAAAATATTTCGCTAGCAGTAATCGAACCATTTTTCGGCAAGTTGAAATCCAGCCTAAGGTTATGCCGGTGAGGATATGTGAATATGAGAATATGAGAGGTGTCCTTTATACACGTATATATATATATATATATATATATATATATATATATATATATATATATATATATATATATATATATATATATATATGTCCTTTTTCAAGCTGTAACATGCAAATATTTTGAGATTCTTAACTGAGTGAAATCATAGACAATCCAAAAAAAAATTGTATTTGGGATTGTTTATGGTGAAATATATAGATACAGGATTGTCATAACTGACTTTTTTAACGGAAATGTTTCTGATGCCCTATATCCCCGTGGAAGGTTTGAAGTTCACTTCAGAGATGCCAATATAGACGGTTACGTATAGAGATGCCAATACAGACGGTTACGTAGACAGGATTGTAAAGATCTAGCCGAAATTTCATCAATATGACGATTCGAATCGATTCGAAAGTATGGTAAAACAGTTTGTATAAAATCATTGAAACTAATTAACATCCTGATGCATTACTATACTTCTTACAATAAAACATGAAAAACAAATACAAGTGTTTAACAAGTATTTTATCTTTCTTTGAAAAGGTGCTTTATAATCATATATCAAGCGCGGCTTACGACGTGCTCAGCTCGTCCGCCCCGCCACAATCGAAACACAAATATATCATTTTTGCAAAAGTCTTGCAGATATTGCTATCCGCTTTACGTATAATAAAACAACTCTCACGTCACAGCGAGCTTTCATGTATCGTTGTGTCGAGATTCATGTCTTGTGTCTTCCATTGGGCCTTTCCATTGGGCAATCCTGTCGTCGAGTTGACAGCGTGATTGAAGGTCTCTATTACTTCTTGCTAAAAACATAACATGCCTCTTGCGAGATGAATGCAAAGTCAAAATTTTATTTTTTTGGTCGTTAACTGAACTCTGCTTATTATGATTAATATAATCTCGCTCACGACCACAATGTCAATAAATGAACTTTCAGGCTGTAGCCTGTGACCCCAGTTAGAGAGGCAAATGAGAGCTATCAGTTGCCAATTGTTCATTCTAGACCGGCTCCAAGCAAAGTCTAGCCGCTACACGAATTTGCCGATTCTTACCAGTTTCCACTGTTCAATATTTTTATAGCAAAAATTTCGATTACACGTAACTGTGAACCGTGTTTTGTAGACGATTTATATCATGTAATAACTCCTGGAGTTATCCCCTTGTGGAGTATAGCCAAATTTTTGCTCGTATGTCGTTCGAAACCGTTGCACTCTTTGTCGCCATTCGATAGCTGGGTTTCTTTTTATCTTCTCAAGCAAAGGGTTTTGTGGAATAGACAGGCGAAGAAAATCCATATCACCATTTGATTTGGGAGAAGCTAGGATAGTTTCGTTTGGGGAAAGTTTCATATGTGCAACTAAGTTGTTGCTGAAATACCGTTGAAAGGAAGACCGAATAAGCGCACCGGAATCCATGTCAATAAATTTTAATAATTGTGTCTTCGCCGTAACTATAACTCTACTCTTCTTGATACAATACAGGTATTCTCCATGAAAATAACGAATGGGTATATCTTCGTGATTACCTGTGTCTAATTGGAGAATTGTAACGGCATCGTGGTCTAAACCCCTGCATCCATACGCGATGACGGCAAGTTTAGAATCGTTACTGAAGCACGCTGTTAGACTTCTGCCAAATGACTGTCGATTAGTTTGTCGATGAGTATAAAAGACGTCATACGCAACAGCGTTCGATGTATTTCTTTTCCAAACGTAAAAGACATCTTCTCCCCCACCAAAGACAAAGGAAGCATCAGGCGAAACTTTAGTATTCATCATAGGCTCAATGCCAGGTAAAGCGATGAATTGTGGTCCATCCCTTGCGTTGACATCAAGCATTTTTACAGGTTTTCTTTTGCCGCAGTGGACGCAGAGCAAACCCCCGGTGAAATCAACCACTTGTCTTACGTATACGAACTCTTGGCGTAAATGAACCAGGGATATCTGCTGGCTTTCATTGAGTGAGATTTGAAAATTTTTACCAATCGGATACTTCGTTAAGCTAGGAATCTTGTTGAAGAAATTAAATACGAACAAGAACTTTTTTGACCACCAGCAAAGAAGTGGCATCCCACCTTGATTTGCCTTGAAACGTTGCTCAACTCGCCTTCTATCGACATTCCATATGTTGATGTATCCATCTGAGGTGCAAGTTGCTAGTCGAGAGCTATCTGGAGAGAATGAACTGTAACAAACAGTTGTATGGACAGTTGGCTCAGACCATCTCAACACAACCAGTTTCATGGTGTCTGAGTACAGCAAGAGATTGTTATCAATCTTCATTATTTCTCTAGATTTGTTATCGTATACACAGCTATCGTCTTCATCCGCGTATTGACGAGAGTCAGAGATAAAAATGTCGCCATGAGCAAGCGTGGTGCCATGGGTGTTCTCTATAACGTTTAAAGACTGGTCTTTCAATGCAAAACAACACTGGAGACTATTGTAAATCCCGGTGGACACACCTTCATCACATAGTAAGGAAAGTGATATATTCGAATATTTGAACCTTTTGAAGCTCGGTGGCATCATAAATCCAGGTCGAAAACAACGTTTACATAGGTTACTATGTAATGCATTTTCAATCTTAATCTCCGGTAAAACTCGCTCATCGCATCTTTGCCGTGTAAAAGTGTTCCAAACGCAAAAATTTTGTCCTGCTTCAGGTCGTTCAACGAAAGACTCATCGTCTTCGTCAGAGTTTCCAACGGAGGATATTTCGTTTTCATCATTTTCTTCACCGGGAGACTTTTCGGCTTCCAACTCGAAAGGCTGAAAACAAGGCGTGCCCGAGTCACGATCATACATGAAAGAATCTTCGTCAAAAGACGATCTGTTGGAAGACTGATCTACTTCAAAACCAAAGTCATTAAAATCGTCTTCTACGTCAGTTTTCTTGTGCGCCATGATATACAGACCCGTAATATCAAAAGAGCACCAATTAACAGGATTGTCAGCTTGAAGTGTAGTGATAATTCTTTGGTGGACAATGTCCCATAATTTGATTGTTTTAGAACGGTTGCTAGTTATTAACCTCTTGCCGTTACGGGAAAATGCGCACGACACAAAGCCTTCCGAAATTCCAGTGAAAAACGGTACTTCCTTTTTCGTGGCAATGTCAAGAGCCGTTTCAAGTTTACCGTACAGAATAAAAGAATCATCTGGAGCAAAAATACAACAAGGAATGCTGGATACGCCTTCGATTGTACACTCCCATAGTTCAACCAGTCTTGGTATAGACACCACGGATATAGTTTTTTTATTAAAAGCTACAGCTGCCATTGTTTTATTTCCAGATACACCAACAGCTTCAATCATTTCCCTTGCAAACCAGACGGTTAGTGGTATTACCTCAACGTCATATTTATCATATGTATTTTCCAAAAAGCTTGAAGATGTCAATAAAATCGACTGAGCAATCCTTTTCTCTTCATCGCTGAAACAGCCTTTAGGAGAATGCGTAAGAACACTTTTTAAATAAGACAAAGAAAGACTGTTTTCAGTCCACTCCATATTTTTCTGAAGATATTCCAACTCAATAATATGCCACGAAATTCGTGCTTGCAGCTGTTTATTGCTTAAGATCGGCTCAACAGGAAGAATATCGTTCCATAAGTAAAACAATGACCATATCTGTTTGCTGGGGGATATGCGTATGAAGTGATATACCATAACCACGTCCACCAACCAAAAAAAACTTTCCTTCATATCGCATTCAGTTAGATGATAGAAACCATAAGTTAGTGCATACGATTCACCATAAGTCTCGATGAGATCATTCGAAGTGGGAATTTTTTCAATAAATTTTTTAATTGTTTGCTCGCAGGTCAGCCAAAGCAATTTGTTTCCATCATTGACGGTGACGGTATACTCGTGATCTTGGTATCCCTGTGCTAAAAGCCAGTCGACAACAGATTTGTGGAAAATTGTAACGGAATCACCATCAACATACAGCAAACAGGATAATGACTCATTAACTTTGTTAATGATTGTCTTGGTTTCACGGCAATTGGGAGCGAGTCCAAGTGCATGAGCGACGAAAGTGAGGGGAAGAGCTTCTTTATACGCCGCTAACATTTGCAAGATTGTTATCACATCAAGGTTTCCGCGATTCATGGCCTTTAGTTCGTCTTCAAGGCGTCGAAAATAAGCGTGATAAACAGAGGCAAGGCCTTTAGGGAGAAAATCAACTATTTCATCCAGTGTTAAGTCGGCAAGATCACTCCGTTTTTGCAGTTCGGATTGGACATGATAGGCATACAAAAACGAGCCTTCGCACATCTTCGCAAGTCTTCGATAACTATCTTCGTCCTTTTCACGCAAAATTGGAAGACAAGATTCAAGATAAATTTGAATATCTAGGTTATTGTTGGCATCACTGTTTGTGATATTGATCTTCGGAAGATCCCCGAGTTTTGCTATAGATATTTCTGGCCTGCTTGTCACCAAGAATTTTATACAATCTGGAAGTTCTGAAAAATAATCAGCAATCAAATTCACAATTTCACTTCTGTTATCTGCTGCACTTTCATCCAAACCATCGATCACGACTAAACTGGGTTCTTCCAGTTCTAATTCATCCAGGGGGTTTTGTAAGTATATTCGAAAGGCCTCTTTTATAGTTTGGATTTTATTAGGCCGCTTTAATTGATCGAGAAGCTTCTCTTTAAACCCATCGACATTCTTGCACATTTGACTTGCGAGAGACTGCAGCATCGTCATAGGATCCCTCAGATTTCCATCGCTGAAGTCACAAAAATGGCAAGCAGCCAACTTTTCCTTCTCTCTGAAAACTTCACAGATTTTTGCTGCAAATACACTTTTTCCAAAACCGGGCCCCGCTGTCAGTAACAATATTTTTGAATCATGCTCATTCCCAGTAAACCAATCGTCCACGTTCTTAAGTAGCCACTCTCTTGTGCCAGGCAAAAAATACTTCACCTTTTTTCTGATTTTACCCTCAAAATTATGCTTTGCGATATTTTGCAAAAGATCTTCATCCTTGTGCCGATTTATCTCAATATTTGTATTTTCTTGAATTTGAGGACATGTTGTTGAATGTTCGAACGTTTCTTTGACACTTTGTTGCTGCATGCTTAGCTGACAGATTTTCTTGATTGCATCGCGGTTCTCTTTAGTCATTTTTGCCATATCCTTTACATCATTACTGAGGTCCTTTACCGTTTTCAGCAATTCTTGATCATTAAATTTCCAATTCTTCAGTACTTCCAACGAATTATCTCCTTCCAAGGATAATGGAGATTCTCTTAATTCATCAATATCTTCCTGCGGAATGTTTAACTCAACCAATGCTTGGGCAATTTTCATCCACAAAGATTCAAATGTTGCGCCATCCATTCGAGTCGACGTCGCATGTGCATAGACTTCATTTCGAAATGTCTTGATTCTTATGATGTTTGCTTGCGTGGACCTATCACTGTCAAGAGGCATTGCATCCCATCCTGTCGATGGTAAGCCACAAATGTTTCGGAATAGAACAGTGAGTAATGAAACATCAAAGGTTTTGGAATCTGGATGTTTGCCGGATGGAGGGTAGAGTAAATCCCACTGGGACTTATTAATAACTCGAAACTTTAACCTTAGCAGAGATTTTTGCCTGGCAGCAAGAACCACAGGTAAATTAGCAGGAGGATGGATAGCATCAAATTCATTTCTCAAAGCTTCACTTCCTTTATCAACTAATAATCTGGTGAGTCTCGTAAAATTTTCCTTTTCTTGAAGATCGGCAGCCGCCATTGCACAGCACGATTTTTCTGGAGTAAAAAAAATAAAGATCGCAATAAATTTCGTGCTTTGGAGGCAGTTGTTCTATGTTTTCGTAATTTTTCATGCAAGCCCCTATATTAATTTATCTTAGGAAACTTTTCGTTAGCAATGTCCACGCTTAGGTGATTTCTTACTTTAACTGAGGCCTGAAATATAGAGACACTAAGAATCACTTCTTGACATTAGGGCCTTCGTAAGGCCAGTGTTAGTTGATATTCTGGCAAAGGCCTTTAGGTGGGGACGCCGAGAAGTGTTTGTCCATTTTTAAGAGAGCTAATTTATACCTGATTTGATGCGACGTTGTTCATTAGTTCTATCATTGCAACATATTAATCTTTTTATAACCCGCGTACAACTAAGCTGCATTAACACGTGAAAAGTTTTCTAGGAACGGAATGAAAAAGTAAAGTTTTGCATGCAATATTTTTTACGTTGGGAAATGGTTCAAAAACTTTTGCGGTGTGTAAATGCAGCTTTAAATATTGTTGTGGAAAAGATAGAGCTTTCTCATGATGACGTCAATGCGAAAAGCCGAATGTCACACGAAGTTTGATGAAACTTCTGTTTCTGACCTACATGCCAGTACCAGAGAATTAACAAATATAATGACAACAAAGAAAAGAATATGAACAATAACACGCTTCAATATTTGGTTCTGCACAGTTGTATTTCATGCATACATTCTGTGCATAACATTAGGTGACTGCATAACGACGCTAACTGTAAAAACGTTTGAGGTCTTCTTTTTTACCGTCTAATAGAAGCTGTTCAGGAAAAAGACACCTTCATTAGGTAACTTTCGTTTAGTAATATATAATTTGGCCGAATTAAAGCAATATAGAAAATTATGTTTAATCACGTCGTCGTTCTCGCTTACCGAACGTTTTATTATTTTTATGGCTTGACGGGTGGCTGTTTGCAAGCTAATCCACCCGGAACGGTCGTTTTAAGAAATATTAAGGCATTTTAATCCTTATTTCCTACCCTGTCTTTGTTCTGGGCTTGCTAAACTGGTATAATTAAGTGAAAACGTATTTACATACTCCTGAAGAATTAAGATTATCTTTACTAATTTCAATTCAAAATAAAGCCAACTGTGTATGGCGTTCACGATTCGATAAATGTTTTAAACAGGAAACTTGAATTCATTATATATTAATCGCATTGAGATCTTCAAATTCATTTTTAACATACCTTGTTTATTTCTCACGAAACTATGCAGAAAAAAGAGTTAATCTGAAACACGAATCGATATTGGATCCGTGACAAATCACATGCGACAAATAACATGCGATTCATTCTGGTGTCCAGGCCTTAGTCGGCGTCATTAATCACATCATTGTCTCGTACCCAGGGATTTTTACTACTGCCCAACAACATACGCAATAAAGAACAAAATTTACGACTGTGTGGCAATAATAGAAGAAGTTAATGCAACAGATGTTTGTTGCTTAAAATCAATTACTCTCTGAAACTCCTTTCCTGTCCCTCTTTTTACGAATTCAGAATTAAATGATTCTCGCGAAAGAAAGGATATAGTACTGCAATAATTTTCCACTATTAGCGAAATCTCAGCCTTATCTCGAAGTCACTAAACGTCGTATCAGATAGATTTTATCGAATCAGGATCGTGTTCTATTAGTTTTAGACAATTGCCTAATGTCTATCGAAATGGCAATATTTTCGCACTTAATCAATAGTTCCGAACTAGGTCTTACACGCGAAATTAAATTTCACACTAGACAATTATCACAGGCGAAGTTACAGATGATAACAAGGGCCTGTCTTGTAACTATTTCCATGCATGTCGGAATTTCCCACTTTTCAAAAACGAAACTGTATGATAAAAATAATGAATTTTCGGAGCCCCATTCAGAAAATAATGCCACGTTAACATCAGGAAGGACTTTCTAAACAGCTGCTTATTTCGAAGATTAGGATTTCAGTTTGCATCAGATTCCAAGTAAATTACGAAATCCAATCCAAGTCAATTATGAAATCATGGGCTCATAGCTGCGCCATTAAGGCCTTGTTCTTCTCGGTTCTGGGTCTCCGGAACTTCATAACCGCCCTGTTCACACGGTACCGGATTGCTGTCGGAGCAGGTCAAATTTTGAAGTTTACAAAAGACATGCAGCGAAGATCTGTAATGTCTGAGACCAGAATAAGTATATCAAATCTTTCAAACCTGAGATTCGCGATATTTTTTTCGCTAATTTTGCTTCGCGTGAGCGTAATTGGTATTTGAATTTTTAAACTAGGTATAAAATCGTTGTAACAAAAAATATAATCTTCCTAAAACTTGCATATTCAAATTTTAATCTAGAATGTACTTAAATCGCAGTAACTAGAAAATACACGATTCTGATTGGCCAATTCTGCCACTAACTATAGTTAAAAGTTAACTATTTTTTTATACAACCGACCCCAGGATCTCACAAAGGTCAAATCTTAAACTTTTCCAGGAACATTTTGGAAGTTTTACTCAGCGGTAAATAGCAGGGGTCCATATTTGAGTCCCAATCAATTTGAAAAGAAATTATCCCTGCGAATTTATGAATACGGGCCCCATGCAATTTTCGTTATGGTTAACGAAGCTAGGCCCTAGGGACGAGGATATCCGGTTACGCCGTTGGTTTTACTGTTCTTTCCCAGGCTTTATTTGCACACCTTAAATGTTGAATTGGATTTTTTAATCTGAAAAAATCAGGGTTTTCAAAATCAACACACAAGCAAAACGGTAATTTATTAATCAGGTGCGATATCTGTGCGAGAAATTTTTGAGCATGCATAAGCCATGTATTCCAATTCTGGCCAATAGAACAGAAAACTTAATTAAACTGTAAAATTTACCAAATTTGTTATCTTTATTCATAAAATAGGCCGTACATCCTGGTAGAAAATATTATAATTAAGGTCGGTTTCACACTTCGAACTTGGCATGAGCCAAATCGAAATGCAAATGAGCTTAAGATTTTATGGGCAACCTTCATAGTATAAACGTCAAAGACGTCAAGCTGTTTGGCATTTTCTTATAGATTTAATATATAAAAATTCATCTGGTAATCGTTTAACATTCTGGTCGTCTTTCAGCATGTAATGCCTCTTCAAAGAACCTTAACAATTACTTATTCTTCATTTTAAGCGCCTACACGATACCATGATCATGTTATATGTTCATTTTGATAACTCAAAGTCACCTCATGCTTCGTTGAATCTCGGCTAAGCGAGGTCATGTAAAAAACCACTTGGAATTTACCCCCAAAACCAACAAAACATGTAGCAACCTATCGTGATCGTATGTTTTATAAACTTAGTCGACAACCTGGAAATTTGCGGGATTTACTGATTCAAAGCTCAATAAGACGCTATTAATACCTTCATATTATCATGAATTGGAAGAAGACTACGAATATTCAAAATAATTAAGATTACGTATTCACACTTTTCCTGAGGCAAATTCAGTAACAAACAAAAAAATAGCACTCTTCGTTGTTTCGCAAATCACGATAGCATGTAGTTATCACGGTAGGTGTTTTTCGGGTGACGTCACCACCATCCACATTCAGTATGCACTGCGTTTCGGCGGGGGTCAAACTAGGTGTTACGTAATCTATTTTTCCCAATAAATTTTCAGGGTTTGTTCACTTGAGGAATGCTAACCCGTGCAAATAGTCTACGTGGCTTAAAAGACTCGCACGAAAGCTTGCTGAGAAGTTACTTTCAAAGGTTTGATATGTACTAGGGTTAACTTAGCTGGAACAGCTAAATTCTGGGGTTAACTCAGGTAGAACAGCTACTATAAAAAATCTTTGACATCAATCACAAGCACTTAAGTCCAATTAAGTAAAATGACTAAATTGTGAACTTTTTGATCGCTCTGCTCACTCCCACCACAAAATACCTGGGACCGATTGTATAAAAATCTAGCTAAGCGACTTCTATTCGCAGTTGATGACAGACTTAGCCAATCAGAAACGTGTGTTTTGGTCTTGGTTTACGAAAACAGAGCAGACATGCTTGCGCGTGCGAAACCAGAAATGCTGTATTTTCATGGTAATCCTATAAACTACCACGAACATTCAATTTATGATTAAATACGAAAAAATGAAAGAAATGCAATATCCATGCACACCAATATTTTTTATTTAGGTTTGCCAAACTGGCATTATTGAAACAAAGAAATACAATCGTTTTTGGTTTAGAATGTTCGGATAGATTGTCTAAAAATTTTGGACTGGAAAATGTGCACATTGAAATCAAGAAAACTGTGCCCTAAGGCCAAATGTTTAAGGAGCCCAGGTATTTACTCGCCTCTTCCCCGGCCGAACAGGTCATTATTCACAGCGTCAATGATCTGCATATGTTCATTATCCAATTAGAACTTAAAATAGCCATTAGCTTGCTCCATAATTTTGACAAAATAATTTTTCGGTTTTTCAAGGCAGAGAGAGATCGAGGAGCCCAGGTATTTTACAATCCTCCACTCCGCACCTCCGACACTATCGTTCGTTACATTGTCCGAAACATCAATGATCTAAATGATCGTCATCCTATTAGTGATCAAAATAGTCATGCAGTAGCTTCTTCTGTATTTTGGTGAAAAAACTTTTCGGTTTGATCCGATAGCTATGGGACTTCACAAGTTTTCTTCACTATATTGTAGTTTTATTAAAAAAATGAACACAAAAATCTACATCATACATCATCATCATATTTTCAATGTTTTTTGTCCAATTCCAGCTCCAAAGCCTAAGATATCGATTTCCATTGGTAACTTGATGGGGTTATGCAATAACCAAGGTTAACAGCGAGGAAACCGGTCAGTGACGTCAGGCAACCACGTGACCGAATGGGAGGGGCGAGTGGAGGCAAGGTGCGGAGCAGAGCCCGCAGAGGGCAGTAACAACCCGTCGGCGAACGAGCGATAACGTCGACAACAGCAGCTTGTGGTAAAGTGCTATTAGTAAATTTTGTTTACGCCCTTCATTTGCATGTCTTTTCCACCAAAAAAGTTGGTGTGAAGGGTTAGCTTTCGGCGGGGGGAGGGGGTGTGTGCTCAGCTTAAGATACCGTAGGGATCTCAACCTGGCTTCAAGTAACAGCACTCGTTCCAAGCCACCCCTCCCGCGAGCGACGAGCTAACACCTAACCATCCAATCGGGTAAGTAAGATGGACGAAAGTGTTAACTAAATAAATACACATTTAGCCACTTTGTCTTTCAAATATGGAATAATATTCAAATCTAGTTAAATCGATTATTCTAGTCTATACTGTGTTGTAAATCAGCTTCATAACTAATTACCATAATCAGATGATCATTATATGGCAAATAAGGAGTATATTTTACATTATCTGCCCTGGAAATCATTTCACAATATCAAGTGCCAAAGGGAATGAAAACAATAATTTAGGACATAAAACGATTATTTCTTCACATTCCTCGCCTAGAGGCAAAATGGTTAAAAACGTCATGCTCTCCCGTGGATTTCGCGTGATTTTTTAGTTTCGTTAGGTAGTTTGCGATCTACGATGCGACTACCTGAACAACGCCACTATAATTTGTGCATAGATTTTATAAGTTTTCAACTAAATCCTGGTTCGTATATGTCGTAATTCATTTTAAGCATCAAAACCACCGACAATAGCCATCGCTGATGAATGGCGATGTATGAAAACCAGGCTAAGGCTAAAGGGTACTAGGAAAACGTTTTGATTGTGCTAAAAGGATGTTCTACTCATGAAATTATTCCTATTTAGTTACAAAACAGCTTAATTTTTGAACGTGCACTATTGCACAATGTGATTTTGGGTCCGTCCCGACAGGGTGAGCAAAAAAACTGATGTCTTAATAGACCACTTGCATAATAGACTAATTTGTGATCTTACAAAGTTTGTCAACTTCACTTGGCTATATTTTCAGTACTATAATATTTCGCTGTCAAACTCAGAAACATATTGTTCCAAAAACAAATTCATAGCAATCACCATCATATACAATCTATATAATTCTTAACAGGTTTTTCCAACAACTGCGATATCGTGATAACCAGACAACTTTGTCCCGATATTTGATGACTTTTTTCACATGCAGGAGTGTTCCATTGTTAGCTCTTCACTGTCAAGACTTCATATGAAAGACTTTAACCCCAGTCAGATAGGCAAGGGAGTGCTATCACTTGCCCAAGGTGAACTCCCAGACTAGCAGAGGGAAGGAGGTGTCTTACATCTCCATTCTAGACCGGCTCCAAGCAAAGTCTAGCCGCTGCCCCA